CCGCCTCTATGTTCCAGAGTACGACCGACTTCGACTACGACTGATCCAGAACCACCACGGCCCACCGACCATGGGGCACCCAGGGCGCGCGAAAACCCTGGAACTACTTGCTCGGAGGTACTACTGGCCACAGATGCGAAAGGACGTTGACCAGTTTGTCCGAAACTGCCACACTTGCCGGCGAACCAAGGCCACCCGACACGCACCCTATGGTGTCCTGCGCCCCCTCCCAGTACCTGAGAAGCCATGGCAACACATCTCAGTCGACTTTGTCACTGGCTTACAGGCCTCAAAGGGGTTTGACGCCATCTGTGTTTTTGTTGACCGACTGACCAAGCAACGCCATCTCCTACCATGTACCACGACCATGACCTCGGAAGGACTGGCCGCGCTGTTCTGCGACCGGATCTTCAGGTACCACGGGTTGCCAGAAACCATCGTCTCAGATAGGGGTCCCCAGTTTGCCTCGAGGTTCTGGAAACACCTACGCTCATGCTTTAAGATAGAGGCACGCCTGTCGAACGCCTTCCACCCCCAGACTGACGGCCAAACCGAACGGATAAACGCCGTCATGGAACAGCACCTTCGCGCGTACGTCAGCTACCTCCAGGATGACTGGGTCGACTACCTGTTCTTGGCCGAATTCGCTGGCAACAACCAGGTCTCCGACACGGCTACTCTGTCCCCATTCTTCGCTAACCTAGGATACCACCCACGGTGTGACTTTGAGCTGGATTTCCGTGTTGACACCAAGGAGGAACATCAAGCTCAGAGTGCAGCGGAACGGTTGCATCAAATCCACGACGTCGCCCGCAGCCAAATGCAGTATGGCCAGGCACGGCAACAGGACGACTCCGACCGACGCCGAACCCCTGTGCCAGCCTTCCAACCAGGCGGCATGGTATGGGTAGATGGTCGGAACTGGCGCACCGAGAGACCCGGTCGCAAGCTGGAAAACAAACACCATGGTCCCTACCGTGTCATTCGGACAATCGGAACCCACGCCTACGAATTGGACATCCCGGACACCGTTCAGAAGCACCGAACATTTCTTATATCCCTCCTTCATGCCTCCGCTGACAATCGCTTCCCTGGACAAATTCCACCGCCACCACTTCCGGTAATCGCGGACGACCAAGAAGAATGGGAGGTTGAAGAGGTCCTAGACAGCCGGAACCTCAGGGGCAAACTCCAGTACCTGGTGAAATGGAGAGGCTACGCGGCACCAACATGGGAACCAGAGGAGAACCTTACCGAGGTACAAGCTGTGGACGACTTCCTTCGACGATACCCCATGCAGCTTGGACCAGTCGAACTTGCTCTCGTGGGAACTCCAGCCTTAGGAGGGACTACTGTCACGGCTCGCGACAGGATGACGAAAGGAGGGTCGGCACAAGGATCGGGAGAGTTGGGGGGCAGTGCAGAGGCAGTGCACCGGCAGTGCAAGGAGGAGTCGCAGAGGATTGGGGGCTGTGTGCAGGGAGCAGGGATAGCGCAGTAATGAGTCGCAGGAGATTGGGGCTGTGTGCAGGAAGCAGGGGTAGTGCGGCTGCGCAGGCTATGAGTCACGGAAGCGGGGTACTGACAAGGTGGATTTGTCAGAGTCTGGCACACGCCCACGGTCATTGTCAGGTTGCGGGAAGAAGTGCAGGATTTTCTATATAAACTGGCTGTTTCCCCTCTGTATTTAGTTCTTCACGCAACAACTTGTTAATTCAATCACTGTTATCTCTGTCCTTACCTCGGCTGCGGGCTGCGCCGTAGTCCTTGTCCCTGTCTCTGTTCTCAGTTGCCGTCTGCACTGAGCCCTGCCTTGCCTTGTCCTCTGAACCCGTCTTACGTGTGCCGCACCCAGCACCCTATCCCCCGCGTGACTTCGCTACATGGACCCTTGCCCGACCATGCTGTTACAACCACTTGGGCAGGAGTGAGCAAACGGGATCCAAAGTCTAGACACCGATCGGCGATACGGGCGATGCACGGTAAAGTCTGATACGGCCGAAACGGCTTGAGGCAGTGCATCATGGAACCCTGTAAAAAGGAAACGCAGATCATGGAACCTGTTATGACGCGCAATTACTCTAATGTATCGACAAATGGAAGCCTGTAGAGCCGGGTCGGTTCTCTGTGCCGACATGAAGATGTGTACTGCTTACTCTGAGCTACGCTTGGGTAGGAAGTGGTAAGTACTTCTGGCCTGGTCGGAAATGGCTATCCCCGCGACAGCTTTCGGCGACTCTATGGCCTAGACTCCAGGGGTGACTCTTTGTAGCTCTTCTGTCAGAGCAAGACTCAAAGGGCGTTTGTAACGGAATTCCCCATGACAAAGGTTTCTGGTCATGTTCTCAGGTGTACAAGTAGACTATATAGTCACTTTACTATCCTCACCGAAATCCCAACATCACCACAACCAGAACACCCAACACTAGGGGGGGACGATACCCCTTAAGATTATTCCGCTGTGAATTATCGTAATCCCTGACTTTTATTCTATACTAGATATCTATCAAGACTCCGACGTCCCGAAACCGTTCCAGTCTCACATCCGGTCAGTCAGGGCGAATGGCACCTCAAAGACGCGGGGTGAGTGATCATGAGTTGCGCGAGACGTATATTGACCAGTCCAACTCGAGAAAGCAAGTGATGTCGAATCTTGACCGCCCTGGCCGCATGGGGTACTCGTCATTACTGCGACCAGCCATTCGGAGATATTAGTACCGCTCAGTATCGGCGGGTACCGATGGTCACCACGCTGTCCCACCAACATGCGTACTGCCAGGCCATATTCTACTACTGCGTGGTTGGTACTCTCCCTTACCTATCAGTACTGCACAGTATGATATGAGCGGGGCGTGAATTTGCAGTTTAAGACTTGATTAGGTCCAGGGTGCGGGTCGACGCCCTGAACCTAACCAGGTATTGAATATGCCTACCGTAGGTGCAGTGTTAGGAGGTATGCCTGAAACAGCGTCTGGCATGGTGAGTGCAACGAAAAGCGTGACGGGTAGCGAATACGCGGTGATAAGTGGTGGTAACATAGCTTGATCAGCACATATGATTTCTGAGGAAGCGGGCTGCTCGGGGATTACAAATAAAGTGTGGGTCGCAAACAGCCACATTGATCTAACCACTTGGAGCGCCTCAATTATAGGAGGATCACTTCTTGATCATTCTCTGTCTTCTGCAGCGGCAGAAGAAACTCTATATACGTGTGCTATGTAGATGGCGTCCAGGCTCGTCCTGTCGGAGGGCTGCTCGTGGACCCCATCACGCTCAAGGCACCAGACTTGACTCGGACGCCTAAGGTCCGGACGCCTAAGTTCCAGTCGCCAGTCGTCCGGCACAAGCTACGACTCGGACACCGAGCCTATGAGTTGACCGTACCGCATGAGATGACGGCATCGGAGGAGTTGAGGGCACCGGAAGAGATGAACGAGCGGTTTAGTCATTGAACGGAAGGGTTGAGGGAGGGGCCAGTCAAGCACAATGGCGCGGAAATGGCGGTACTGATGGTTACGCTGTGACGCCACGAAAGCCTAACTTAGCTTTAAAATTCCGTTCCCGGCGAGACGCCGACAGGGTCGCTACGGTAGGCGGCATGGCGAGAATAGTGGCACTGCATGGTACACGGCGAGGCGGCGAACCGTCACATCGATATGATATTGCCGTGAGTAACACTGACCATGACGCTGGCAGCTGTCATACCACTGAATTCTAACCTGGGCTTAGAACTCAATCCAGAGCCAAAGGGTTTTTACCGACCAGTAACTACGGCGCGCGGCGACTCAGCGGGACATCAGTACCATAGTGAACCCAGCGGTACTGAGCTTTCCACTACCTTAACATTCATGTGTATCCTGCAATGTCGCAAACCTCACGACCGGTACGGTACGTCAACTAGCACAATCTGACTGGGTCGACACCGATCGGTGCGACCAGTCACCTGGTGCCGCCGGGCAGTAGTTCCAACATTGCGCAATCGAGTGCGGCACTGGTCCTTACTGTGTGCTCGGTACTGGACTCCGGTACGGTCGCCTAGAGGTACAAGGGTTATTACACCGGCCTGTACTACTCTACAATACGTGTGCTCGCGTTGCGGTACAAAAGGAGCGGGGCCGCTACGTGGGTGTTCGACACACGGGTAGGTGGAAAATGCGTGTCAGAACCCTTTACCGTCCATGGCCATGGCCATGAATTCGCCCGCCATAGGTGAATCGTTCTGAATGGGGTTGATTCGTATATAATCACCTTGCAGCATGAAGCCGTGAATAGAATGGCATCGTTGATTGCAGTCCGGGCAACGATGTTTGGCATCCGATTCACTAGTGACTACACATGCATCAAAGATCTGTACAGTCCACCGGACCCACTCGGCAACCTCTTCATTCACAGAGTTACCTATGGGAAGTTGCCATTCAACGCGGCGATAAGGCCGGCATGGGGATCCGGCGGCGAGGAAAACTATATAGCTTGGAGGGAACCTCCGGGTAGCGGGTCAGCAGAACCTCGAGTATCTAACCGTATCATCTTGGCTGCCGATGGAATCTAATTATCCTCACTTCCTTCATCGGTTGCAGCGACCAGCTGTCGGGCCAGAAAATACGCGAGCGGCGAGCCATATCACGTACATCCGTTTAAATGGTGAAACATAATTGGAGTAGTAGGTAGACCGTATTATAAACGGCTGCGGTGGTGACCAGCGAATATCAACCTGCTCCGAGCACCATAATGAAAGAGCCATGCTGGCGATGACATGAATTATGTCGATCGTGTGTCGGAGCCGACGTCCTGCGACCCGCCGACCCCCTCCCTTTTCGTTTCCCCCGTACTTATACAATATAGTGCGTACAAATGGGAAGACGGAGAGAAAACGATAGGCCCAACGACTTGGGAAAGAAATAAAAATATATAATAAAGCGACCACCGCACTACCAACCGCTCTGCATCGCGGCGGAAAAGAAAAGAAATATATGTACAAACGAATGGGATGGAACTCGGTCATCGACGCTGCATCGAGCGCCACTCAGATTGGTAGGATCTGACCGCCCTCCGAGATCGAAAGAAGAAGGAAAAAAAGCGGCAGTTAGATCAGATCAGAATCCACTGCGCAAGCACCGAAAGCGCGAAAAGTAAGCTGATGATGCCGGTGCGTGTGCCGGCGGTGTGAAGTCCGTCCGATGTGGTGGCAAAAACGCTGTTGAAACTGATGGTACTGCTGTTGGTGCACATACCCTCCGGCATGGGATCTTCTTGGCCGCGCTCGACGAATGTTATATCCGCACACTGTCATCCGGTTAGTTGGGCCGTATTTATATCGCCATCATCTCATCATGGAAGAGCGACATACGTTGTAAAGGCTAGCCCCGTTCATCGCAATCTGGATAACCTGGATGGTTGCATTGTTGCCGACCTGGATGGAGTCGTTCGCTGGGAGAGAAAGATCGGCAAAGCAGAACTGGCCGGGGAAGGGATCTCTTGACGGAGCGGTGATCTGGAAGACGGTTTTGACCACGTTGTCGATCACCTTCGGATCCGTACCGAAGCCTATGTTGACGTAGAAGAAGGACGTTGGGTGGCCCGAGTTCCAGCCGGGAATGACCGACAGCGCGCCGCCGTCAACGGGCCATTTTGTACGGTTCGTCGTGAGGGCTTGTCCGGCACCTGGCGATCGGGGTCAGTTGGAATGTAGAAGAAAGGGCAGAGATGCGGCACAAACATGGGAATTCCCATTGCATCTCGTCGCGTAGTGTGTTGCCTCGCCATGCCGGATACACTATCTGGGCATGCGCCGAGACGGAGTGTAGCCATGTGAAGAGGAGGAGTGTGATGGCGACCAGAGTCGACCGCGCCGGTAGTAGGAATTGTCGCGACATGAGTGCTGTGCTGTGATGTGATGCGTGCGGTGGGAGGCTCGGTGCTCAGCGTTAAAGGTGCAAATCGAGGCCGGTCAACGTCGGAGGTGAAGTTAAGGTGGAATGCATTGGATGAAGGAATAACTTATCTAGGGGATTTAGACTCTGATACGACGGTCATCTATTTCGGTTCAAAGCGGGGGCTAGTGGGGGCGTGCGTCGTAGATTCATCAAGTAGGCGAATGGAGTTGTTCGTTCAACCGCTCGCTGACGGTGGAAGCGGAGATGACATGCAGACTAACCTCATTCTGTCAGCCAGCGCGTAGACGCGTTTGAGCAGGCGCGCCCGCAACCGAAAATCTAAATATGGTGCGCATTCTTGGCTCTCGCTGCACGTCAAGGCCTGTGCGTAGCTGGATTTTAATGTGGATGATTATGTAGATTGTGCAAACATGGTTCATCAGCATCCATGAGCCTGCGAGGTGTTGCAGAGGTAGAGTACATAGAGTTTGTACCGTGGGAGAGATCGGGGGCGAACGGCAATCTTTATGTCGAGGTTGGTACCAAAATACTGCAGACTTGGAAAATGGACTCAGGACACGAATAACCTCACGGTTCCACGCCGATGTGAAATAACCACCCGCTTCACGTTCTCGAATTCTCTTCTTCGGATAGTTATTGGCCTTGCATCGATTTCGTCGAGTTACCGAACGGCATTACGTTGCGTTCGGATTTTCCACTTTGGTTGTGCGGTTCGGGCAAAATACACAGCTATGCCTGCCTTTAGAGCCAAGCTCGCATATACTTTAAATTCCACTCGCACGACCTTCAGGCAACCGGGCGTTTTGGCGATATCCTGCCGTGCTCGGTACGCCAAAACACGGGCGGGAGCAACCTAACCCCGAGTCCCGGGCAATAGAGTATGGGCGGAACAGCAGAGAGTGTGGTATCTACATAATCGAAAATGATAGGTGGCTGTTACCGAGACGGAAAGCAATTTAGTGGGTGGCTTGCCCCTGTCGTCTGGTCGACCGGCCAGCGTTAGCCCCCACAAAATGTCTTTCCCTGAAACACTCATATAGGGCAGTCGTCTAGAGTATATAAATCCATATATGTAGCGGCTCGGCATTCGCATGCTATTCACGTTCGAAATTCGAACATGAACTTCGAATACCATCCACACCCACGACGGGGATGTAACGATTCGACAACCGGCGCCAACCCAGGCAGGCGCCGCCAAGAGAAAATCAGCATCGTATGTAGGTTGAGTGCATTGATGGACTGGCAGACGATCGCTGAAGTGCGCCGGAAACCGGGCGACCGGGCATTCGGGATGATGGGCGTGACCAACCTCTCCTCACAAACGAATCTGCATCTGTAATTAACCCCATCTTCCTGCGAGTAGTAAAGGGAGAAAGTGAGTAATATATTTCCCTTCATCCTCATGCACCGTATTCGCCATGGGCACCAGCCACCCTCTCTACAACCTGTCGGATATCACTGCCACTGCCATGAATTACATATCTCTTGTCGAGACCACGATTCAGACATTCTACGGCCTGAACACACGATATGTACAGTATCTACTAGTATCGTCGCCAAATCTAGCTTGCTGATCGCGGAACCGAGAACCCTGATTTCTGGGTGAAAACGTGGCTGGCGCGCTAAGGTTATCAGGCAGCCAAAGGTACATGGTCGCAGGGTATGTGGGCATCTCACCTGCAGACTGGATGGACTAATCCTTTGGTTGCCTCGCCCCAGACCGTCCAGGACTGTGGGCCCCCCATCAGACTGGCGTCCTGGCAGGCGCCCGATTCGCCCGCCTGTTGTTGATGTCCACCAAATTTAGGATCGAGATGCACCAAACAAATGGCACACTCAAACTCCTAATTCACTGGTTTCAACTCTCAAGGCCACTGTCAAAAGCCACTTCCGACTCATCGGGTTTGATCAATCCCTTGCGCAGGTTGAAACAGCCACGCCCTCGGAGCCTGAAGTTGCAGAGGACGCCGCCAGCCTGTCGTAACTGAAAACCTGGAAGATTTTTACTAGTATTGACGTGTTGGTAATTGAGTTACCAACACACGGCCTCGTCGACACGGCACCAAACACGGGTGCTTTTGGTCGCGTTCGTTGCATGTTGGTGCACGACCAGCTACCCGACGCGATCCCCTCTAGACCGAGTTGCAGCATTCCCGCCCTGAACGCTCTAAGGTGAGTATATTTCTCGACGAATTTCGTGGCAAAAGTTTTGTTGATAGTCTAGTTGACAGCGCGCAATCGAACTGACAAAAATCCGGCGTGAGTGCACTGCCGGTTTGGGGGAATAGGTTTGCCGTTTATGACGATTGGTGGGACTTCAGCCACTTGAAGACGGGTGCAGGAAATCGCGTCGAACCGAGTACCGTTACGACGACGAATGCAGGGCAGAATCTACTGCCAAAACGACGGCGAAGCCCGCAACAAATCGGCTACGAATACATGCCAGGATCGATGAAAAATCCATACTCGAAAGAAGGCGAATCCAGTGTGGAATGGGAGTACGCCCGGTGAATTGTGCACGATCGGATGGGAGAGCGTACGCCTTGCGAGTCCAATATAGCTGCATCGCAGGAGTACAACAGGATACCGGAGAGCAGGCACAGAGAGCGGGGAATTGCTGCATTGCAAGAATCAGGATGCATGCCCGATTGCATGTTCTTGTTTTTTCTTCATTCATTGATTGCATGCGACCTATCTAGATCATGGCAATATCATCTATCTGTGCAGCCACCGTTTCCCCGCCATCGTCTAACCCAACTATTATAAGGCGAGCGGCCCGATGTGGCTTTCCCTGCTCTCCGCCCTGGCCTTTTCGGAAAGTATGTCTCCACCGTTCGCCTCGCACTCGCTCCCGCACCCGCACTCGCCCCCGTGCCCTTCAGTCTTCCCACCGCCGCCACACGTCTCCGGTCCGATATTCTACATCGCCTAGCTCCTCAAACCCCGCACCCTCCTCCTCCGCTTCCTCGAGTCGCCTCAGCTCCGCTCTCTCTTCCCGCTCCCTCAGCTCCCACTGCATTCCGACACCTCCCTTGCTGTATCTTCCTCATCAACCTCTGGGATCCGCCTGCCCACAGCGGCAGAGGAAAGAAAGTCAAGGATGGCTTCGCTGCACCGCTCGTCTGCGAAGAGGTCCCGGATTTTGAAGCGGTCTTTGCCCCCCCCCCCTGTCTTCTTCCCCCCCCCCCGATTGCATACTCGAATTCAAGGTGGAAAAATAGCTAAAATGAGTGACAATCTGTGATACATATCTAGGCGGCTCGCTAGATAGCAATTTCATATAAGTGCCCCTACCACGAGGTTTTTTTTATTTTACAGATAGTCCTCCCAGACGTATAGCTGGTTGGTGCCGTTGCTCCATGGGCAATCGATGACAAACCCTCAGAGTGGCACGCCGTCTACTAACGGGTGGTCGTGAGAGTTACGGATAGTCGCAAATTCACGTCCAGAAAACATTTTCTTGGTTGCAGTCCCTTCGCGATAAATCTAAATACGTATTGTATCATACTTCCTCCTCTCTATTTTACTCTCGAGTGATATTCTGCTGTGCAACCACAGTCCGTGTGCGCCTACCTGCAATGCTTCCGGTTCGGAACCGCCGCATGGGTTGCGACTACTTACCCCGCAGCGAGAGCGGCTTACCCCGCCACCGGAACGGTTGGGAGGATAGCCATCTAGATCCCCCAAATAACTACAATCATCAATGTCGCAACTACAACGTCCGGACTTTCCGCCATTCATTTTCCCAAATGTCACTCTCTCCACCACTGCTGGCCGACTTCCCTTCGCTTCCTATCCCGCTCGTATCGGATGGTCTATCATCGCAGGTTCCTGGACCACCAAAGCTGGAACCCTCCCCACGCAGGCGCAATTGGTCGGCTTCTTTCAGTCGTGGCTCTTTTTCGGTGCGATCAGCGAGCTGTGCGATATCTTCCGCCTCGACATCGATATCGATAAAGAATTCATCTCCCCCGGTACTAACGGTAGACTGCTCTCCACCGAGCCGTTAAACGTGCTTCGCGAACGACTTTGCAGAGCGCGCAGCCAACTGGATCCTGCAGGGGCGCGGGAAAGAGACAGAAGGCTCGCTGAATGTCGCTCGACCATCGACCACGAACTCGGCAAGAAGGGTCCGGACCCGAGTTCTCGCTGTATTGACAAGCGGAAGACGGTGAATCTGGAGTTCGGCCGTGCCTATCAGGCGGTGGCTATCTTGCTCCGTGTCCTGGCCTTGGTGGGAGAGCCCTGCAAGCGTGTGGGAGGCAGCTTCGACTGGGCGCTGCATTACTCGGCGTCGGCGGCCTTACCGCAGAGGGGATGGTGCCCGTCCGAAGTTCACATGCTCTCGATGAACATTGAAACCGAAGTGGCGTTCCTGGCGAGCACGCTAGAGCGTCCCTTGATGTTCCGCAACCATGAGGGATGCGATAACCAACGATGCTTCGCGGACCAGGTGGTGGAAGATCGCTACGAGACCGTCCACGTCCAGTTTGGATGTCGATGCGACTCGGTTGCAGTACAAGGGGAGGACTTGAAGGCAGTGTTGGAGCGGGGAAAGATTCCAAAAATCTCATTGGCCGGGCTCAGCGAGGCCAAACAGACGTCGGATTTGGAGATAGTTGAGGATGCACCATATCTTGCGATATCGCATGTCTGTAAGTCGTCCATCATGAAATGCGTAAACCATGACTAACACGTACAATGACAGGGGCTCATGGGTTGGGAAATCCCCACGCAAATGCCCTCCCGCGCTGCCAGCTTCTCCGCCTTCGAGGTTACGTCGAGCAGCTGGGTATACTGCATAATTTTCCGCAGCCTCTTACCCTATGGATCGATACGCTGTGCGTTCCTGTCCATCCCTCGCTCCGCCAATATCGCAACAAAGCCATCCAACTCCTCGCCACCACCTACAGGAATGCCACCTTCATGCTTGTTCTCGATCGCGAGCTGCAGGCGGAGTCAAGCAGGAAGTCATTCCTGGAATTGGCCATTCGCATCCTGTGCTGCGGTTGGTTACGCCGTCTCTGGACACTCCAGGAAGCAAGCCTCCTTTCCGGCAGTAAAATCCACTTCCAGATGCGGGAGCCACAGCCGCTGAGATGCGATGAACTCTTAGGCTTCTTGCAGAAACCCGCGCCATCCACCGAAAGAGAAGAAGCTTCACTCCGTTTATACGAATCGGTTGCTGCATCGATATACAGGCGTATCCCACCCATCGGCGCGCTCCAAGGAAGAAATACTTCACCCCTACAGCGAGTCGACTCGAAACTTGTCCAGATGATCTCGGGAGCGGTCCGGTACCGCTCCACCAGCAAAGCCGAGGACGAGGCGGTCTGCATGGGTAGTCTTCTCGAGATGCCTATCGATGAGATACTGGCTGCCAGGACCTCGCATGACCGTATGGCCAGATTCCACACACTCATGCGACACATCCCGGCAGAGATGGTATTCTCGAACAGACCCAAGCTCCCGCAGTCACCTTTCCGTTGGGCACCCAGTTCGATGGTGAACGATAACTTCGGTTTTTACCAACAGGACATCCTCGGAGAGAATACCGGTATCTGTGATGGCTCCGGATTTCATGTCCGGTATCATGGCATTGTGTTATGCGGCGGCGGTGTCACCGGCAATACAGTGGTGCAGGAGCCATGCATCGTCACCGATGCCGCGACGGGTGAAGACTACGTTCTCTTCAGCAAGAGAGTATTTCCACCGTTTGTTCTCGGATCCGATAAAAACTGCCTTACGATTTCTCCGAAAGCCGCGTTGGTACTGCAGAAGCCGGCACTGGGGCTAGTGAGGGACCTACAAGTCTTGATTGTCGAGATTGAGAAGACCATCATGGAGGGCACCCAGACTGATCGGAAGGACATTGAGTACGTTGTGTCGACCATTGATCGAGCGTTCATCTCCCAGCGGAGCGAATGGGTTCAGTGGGGTACACGCAAGTTGGATAAAGTTGATCTGCAGCAGAAGCCGGTCTTGACATTTTCAGGGTGCATGAAGGTTGCTCAGGCATGGTGCTTTACTTAGAAACGAGGAACATATGGCGGTTAAGTATTGGTAATTGTGGAGGACGATTGAGATGGCATGGAGAATAGGTGACGGCAGATATATTTTCGACGGCAGTGGCTGTGGAAATGCAGGAAAAATCACTTACATCAACCGCTCCCGTGCTATCGCTTCCGGATGAAAGTGACAGATGTTGATGTATCTAAGGTCTGTGAAGGATAGGACGGTATGGACATATGGCTCTGTATGACCATTGCGTCTCGTCGGTGGGCAGGTAACTACCACCGAAGTTTCCAAATCGTCGTACAACGGTAACCGCGGTGGCCGTTCTCTCCGCTCAGGCTAGGCCTATGGTGATATCGCTATTGATGGTCAATTTCAGTGTTGCCGTGTCACGTATTGTCACGTAATGTTACCGAAAAGCAAAATTCGTGATGGTGATGTTTTCTACAAAGCGTGGCTTCTTGTGGTGGCTGGTACTGATGACTGGTATTGTGGCTGGTGGCTCACCGTGGTGGCTGGTGGAGGTGGCTGGTGGTGGTGGCAAAGTGGCAAGTTCCGGCTGATAGCTCTCTCCATATTTACCTATATATGCTTTTCACTTCGGCGACTCGATTCCTCGCGTTGGAGCAGGGTCAAGCGAAGGAAAAACGCGTTTTGTCAACTCCCTAATGCAGAATCGAGGAATACATTACCTTTGAATCTTCTCCGTTGCTGGAGTACTTATTAAGCCCGTATCACCCCGCACCCCGCAACCCCGCGTGATGACTTGTAGCACGGCCTTCGGAGATGTCCGTGTCCGACTTCGGAGCCATCACGTGATGATGAAGACGATTTCCAACTGATTGCAAATCGCGAAGGTGCGATTACAATACTCTACCGACCGCGCGACCGACGTGACGACACTTATACACATCAAAATATATAAAACACAGCTTCGGCACATCGAAATTCTCCAATTCACACACACACGGAAGAAACTACAACATACCTACCAAGATGGATCCCGCTCAATACACCTATCCGTCTCCGCTCGCCGGCTGGGAAGATCACACCCCGCTACCGACGTGAGTACTCACCCGCGCGCAATCATTGCATAAGTTCAGTATGCTGACGAGCCTCTCTCAGCGGCTACAACGCCGACGGCAAATCGCTCCAGGCGCCCTCGGACCCGTCGACTTCGCCCACCTCGCCGTCGTACACCGCCTTCCCATCTCCGATCACGAACGGCTCGCGCGGGGGCTTCGACATTCACATCTACTACAACAATGCGTCAGCGTCGCAAACGCTGTTCGCGCAACAACTGCACACGCGCATCCGCCTCGAGTTCCCGGAGCTGCGCGTGTACCGCTTCTGGGACCGCCCGATCGGCCCGCACACCATGGCCATGTTCGAGGTCAACTTGTTCACCCCGGCGCAGTTCGGCGCGTTCGTCGGCTGGCTCGTGATCAATCGCGGCCCGCTGAGCGCGCTGGTACATCCGAATACTGATGATGAGCTGAGGGATCACACTCAGAGGGCTACGTGGTTGGGTGAGCGCGTTATTGTCGATACCACGCTGTTTTATGAGATGTTGAAGGGGAAGGATGTGAGGGAGGCGATTCTTGCGGAGGCGAGGAAAAGCGACGATGCGGCGAACGCGTAGTAGGGACAGGGGGGTGGATAGCACTAGGAGGGCTTCGGAATTCTATAATCGATGATGACCAATGTTTATTACTCGATGATATTTGGGAGTTGATGTCACATGTCTGTCCGTGTTCGCGATTGAAAGTAGATCACGGCGGCCATTTCTCATCGGAACAACATCAATTCAGAGGTAAATACAAGCGCTCCATCTTGCTCTCACGCAGCAGCTCACAAAGGAGGGCCAAAACAATCCCTTCCTTCACCCATCCCCCCCTTCCCCCCATCCCACCCTCTCATCGCAGCCCTTACTCGGCCTTGCTATCCTCCGCGTGAACAGGAACGGCTCCAACCGTAACCTTGATCTTACCCTGTTCGATGTCCTTCTGTAGCTCATCAAGCCTACTCCCCTTCGGCACGGCCCGCCACGCAGGAATGCCCGAATCGAACACAATATCCATCTCCTCAAGTGTTTTTCCCTTTTTCGCTCAGTCAGTTTATGTTCCATCACTTGCAAATTGCGAGGGGGCGGAAGGGGTGGGACAAACCTTGGTCTCGGGAGCAGTCAAGAACATGTGGATGAAAGCGACACCGTTGAAGGCAGCAAAGATCATGTACATCTTCCAGTTGATGGCGCGGAGAAGGGGCGGGACGGCGAAAGCGAGGGCACAGTTCCACGCCCAGTTGGAAGCAGTGGAAAGCGCGACGGCCTTGGCACGGACCTTGTGGGGGAACACTTCGGAGGGCATCGTCCAGGAGACGGGTCCCCAGGTTGTTGCGAAGGTTGCGACGACTTTGAGATTGTTAGCGACCAGTAGAATGATGTGGGAAGCAAAGCCGGAGAGACTTACAGAGGTAGGAGCATGCGGTAACCGCCTTGGCCTGTGATTTCTTGTCGACCATCTTCCAGGTAATGGGCTGAGTCGGGTCTGTTTCCGGCTCTCCGTACGCTCCCTGGACAGCACCGGTGATCAAGAGCCAGGTCATCATCAGGAAGGATCCGGCGAGCAATGCGGGGCGACGACCGAGCTTGTCGATGAAGATGATGGCCGGAACGGTCATGACAACGTTGATAACGTACTGGATGGCGGCGGTTAGAAGAGGGTCGTCGATACCGGCACCCTGCATAACGTAGACTATGTAGTACATCTGTGGGGTTTCTCGCGTGTTAGTGGTTGCTACGCAGACATGCGGTCGTGGATAGTCGGCAGTGTCTACATACCATAATGTTCATACCACAGAGCTGCGACCACATCTGAAGCGACATTCCGAGGATGACACGCTTGACGGTTCTCGGCTTAGTGAGCTCGGCGAAGGAGCTGATGGCCTCCTCGCGCTCGAAACGGATGGCGTCCTCGATCTCCTTGTACTCTGCAAGCACCTTCGGGTCGTTGACGTTTCCACCACCATGAACATCGGCCAGCACGACGAGGGCCTCATCCCAGCGGTCCTTGGATGCGAGCCAACGCGGGGAGTAAGGGAAGAAGAAGAGGCCGATGAAGAGGATGAAGGCCGGGACCATCTGGACTCCCCATGGAATACGGAAGGCGGCGGTGCCTTGGTTTGGGTTCTCGGAACCACCATCGACGAAGGAGGCACCGTATTGGATGAAGTACTGGATCAAAATACCCCAGGTGATGGCCCACTTTTGAGAATGTTAGCGGAGGGACAACGAGAACGGAAAAGAACGGCTGGGATATCTTTACCTGCTGGAAGGAGACCATGCGTCCACGAAGTTCCTTGGGTGCAAGCTCGGCCTGGTAGACGGGGACGGTCGACGAAGTGATACCAACACAAATACCGGCAATGATACGGCCGACAATCAACATGCCGACGTTCTGAGAAGCGCATTGGATGCTAAAACATGGGTCAGCCCACCATTCCCTCCTTCACCACGCCACCCCTTTCGAGTGATGGCCGGCTGGTAACACGGAAGATGCTCACATCGAACCAATAATCCAGATGATGGCACCGATTTGAATTGCAATCTTTCGTCCCCATCGATCTGAGATGTAACTCGACATCAACGCACCAAGCAGCGATCCCGCAGGCATGGATGCCGTGATACCGCCCTGCCTCTCGTCCAGAGGATTATCGAAGTATCTCTTGTACGCACCGGTACCCAGCACACCAGCCATAGAACTGATATCGAAGCCGAACAGACCACCACCAATGGCGGCGAACGCCGAGATGGCGTAGATGTTAGAAACCTTCTTCATGGCGAAGGTTTTTCTCCTCGTACCGATTTATCGGGTGCAGGGGGGCAGAGGGGCCGGAAGGAGGAACAAAGTTCTTTGTGGAGTGAGTTATCCAAGGCTCTGGGAGGGTGACCTGGGCGGGGCTTTATAACTCCTGGGCGTGATTGTCAGACGTATAAAACAAAACACTCTATATATTCCCATGCTCAGGTGTGTTGGAGCCTGAACGAGCCGGTTGATTGTGATATGCCATAGCTGCGGTGCAGTGTGCAGCGGCCGGCCTGTTTGGGTTCGTTTCCTGCGATCATCGGTTTGGCCCCCCTCCCCCACCCACGTTCATTCGTGCGGGGGGGTTTGTTTGAAGCTCAACTCGAGCACATACATGAAGGTAGGCCCCCGGTCCTGGAGATCGTGTCATGACTCCGCGGGGAACAACCTAGTCGAGCCAGGATGGCTGGTGAGAAGTAACACCTTCCCTTCTGCCCTCCACTCTTTGCCGCTGTCGGTACCCCAGGGGGGTTGGGTTCTCGACCTGGAAATTGGCCACCTGCAACATAGAAGAGCCGCGTACTGGCGCCATATGATCTCTTCGCCCGGTGAGATCACTTATCTGTCTCATCCAGAGGGTGGGGGGAGGGGTTGAAGAGACGCATTGCATTGCCTTCCACGTTTCTTTGTTCCCTCTGCACAGAATCATAGTGCACTTGTCTCACAAGTGCCATGCACACCACAGCAGTCCTCATGATGCGCTTGCTTCACAAGTGTCATCCCCTGCATCCACCCACGTCCCTCAAATAAGGAAAAAAACCGCATGTGCACCAGAAGAATTGACGCCGGAAACCCTGGGGTCGCACCGGAAGTCAGCCGTCGTTCCATAGTGAGAGAGTGAGAGACGTGCCGAAGCCGGAGAAATCTACCGTTGAGGAGATGATCGTCGGCAACTCCCAGCCCCTCATGTCGCTTACTTCCCGTCAAAAAGTCGCGTGGACGGTGGGCGGTGGTAGTACACACATCCCCACATCATGGGATTTCCTTTCTCTCCCGCCGCACAGAAAGAGTGAGTTCGAAAGATGTGGTCCCCGTTTCCGGCGCCCACGAAAGTTGCATCGGATTGCGATTGGAACCGACAGGATAATCGTTCCGCCTGTCCGGTCCGGGCGAGAAATTCCCAGCGTGGCTGGCAGCCATACCCCAGTAAAAGGGCACTCCAGATGAATAAAGTACCGAAGGGTAAGACGTGACGTTACGGAAGGTTGACAAGCTTTCCCCGTAGATCTGCGGTCAACGCACGTTGTTTTCCGACCCGTGCAATGCGAAAGCCACCCGTGTCGCGCGCTAGCAGACGTTAGAATGCAGTGGCTAGCATTCGTTGGGCATAGTCTGTTGGTGACATTCCTGCAGATTGAAGTCCAGTAGAGTTGAGTAGATTGCCATGATCTAGGTAGCTACTGGTAGGTCGCAGACAGTCAATGATTAAACATCAAAAACAGTAGATTAAGATAGAGTGGTACCATATCAGAGTACGTAACTCACTTAAGAGGTAATTTCTCGGTTCGGTTTTTCGTCGTCCAGATTATTGCTTGAACAAGAAAAAAACCAGACGAGAATACTGCTTCTTACTTGGAATCTTCTTCCGTGTCGGAGGGCCAATATGCCACATACAGAAAGCCTGCTGCCAAACATTGCAGATAAAACTATTACCTCCCAAGTGAGATTTGACGGTAGCGAGCTCCACGTTGCCCCGCAGTCAGTCCGACCATTCGATTGCCCGTGGTGTCGTCGGGGGTGCGGATGAATTCACCGCGAGAGTAAGGCAGAGGAGGCCCCCAAAGATGACGGTGCTGATCATGCACTCTCTCAAGAAGGTATGTATCGTACTACTTTGCACACTCTACTCGTGAGCGACCGTATTCGTTGCCCGTGAGGAACATGCAAAATCACGCACGACTGGCCTGGTCGAACTAAGATGCCTTCTGGACGGCGCGTGCTCTACATCAGGCTGAAGGCGGGTATAGTCGACTGCCTTCTAGATTCAGCGCCGACCTTCCCCACCAAGACGCTTATTTCTTGACGAGCCGCAAGACTGCCACCATCCTTGCAGCGGCGGGATCACCGGTGTCGAATAGTAGATTCCTGCGTCGACGGAAAAAGACATATCCAGAAGGTATCCTGAAGGTAGGTATCTCTTCACTCGACACTACTAGTGTGGTGTGCCGTTCTTCCGGTGTGGCATGTGCTTTAGTCCTTCGACCTCGCGAAAGCACAAACGTCTTGCACGAGACGAAAGCTCTATATTTATTTGACGACTCACTTATCCGTTCAACGATATCCAATCATTCGCCTCTGCCCCCTCCTTCGCCCTCCCCGCTCGAGTCGTATAAACTTTGCAGGGATTGTGACAAGTTCATATCGAACGACATTCTGGCCCAGGATGGCAGGATCCCATGTGGCTGCTGATATCAAGCATTCACGGTTCTCTGTTGCGGGGTGCGAGGATCTCCATCGTGGGATACCCGGCTTCATTCGTACCCAGAAACATACTACCACCACCACCACCAGTACCGCGGACATGTCCGATTGCTGCACGGAAGGAACGTACGAATCCTAGAGGTGAGATCGAAGCGCTGTAAAAAACGTGTCGCCGAGGCTTGTCGTACCCGTGAGCCTGGTAACAGCAGGTGGACTCGTCCACGGTAGTTACGACTACCGGCACCGGCAAGCCTAAAATCCACCCGTATAGTGCGTTTGCGACTATTGAGCGTTCGGGCGCTCCGTTCGCGTGGAGGTCAACCCCCGTCGACGCGTGGGGTAGTAGCATCTAGTTTTTCTCCGGATCGTCACACCGGGCGAGGATGTTCTGGTTGTGAGGCATCCCAAGTGCCCGCAGTGGATCGCCACTTGTGTTCACCAAAACGTGGTGTGGCGGCTGCGGAGGAATCGCCGGCAACCGCCCGCGGCAGGAGTAGTGGGGCCAGATTTGGTTGGCGAAAATCGGAGGTGCGCCATGAGAACCTGATTCGATCGGAATCCGGATCAGATCCACCCAAGCTAATGCTCTCCTCCTCCTTCTCCTCCTGCGCTTCTTCCTCGATATCTTCTTCGTGGACAACTATCTGGCCCCGCAATTGTTCTACCAACCCCACCGCGATCCATAATTGCGGCACAGCGATTCCAATCTCCATGCTTCAATCTTCTTCCTCGATGACACCCCCACGGGGTGCTAATGATTTCGATCCTCCTCGTTCTAGCCGTCTTCAATCCGTGACGCGGCTTCTTCTTATCCTCGCACAAATTGGAATCGAAGGAAAGAAGTCCGTAGACAAACACGCGGACAATATCGACTGGCGTATGAGAGTAATGGCCAGAACCAGAACCGCGGGCGTTGAGATAACTTTTCTTCGCACTTTCGTCCTTAGACATAGCTTATGCCCCGATTCAATCCATCCACCCTCGTCGAGTAGTCCTCCAGCGAATCATTGCCTCCAACTCGGCGACATCTTCCAGTCGGATACCGGCAGTAGGCCATGTCTTGAAATCTCCCTGCTCAAACCCAGCTATCTTACCACTATCCCATCTTTCCCTGCTCCCACGTGATCCCTCATCTGTGGCTTCGCGCTTGCATCAACGCTCACCGAGAGACCATTCCGCCGCGGGTGCTCGACTGGGTCGATACAAGCGGGCAAGCGCTTCATGACTGTGACTGTGACTGAACTGCCACCATGCCGGCATCTCGAACCACGGCAACCCGATCCACAGTCCACTTCGTTGGTAGCCATGATGAAAAGGAACATTCTTTCTCCTCCACTACTATAGTATCAGTAATGAAAATATAAAGTAACGCTGCAACTCCGCTCCCCTGCAGCAGCAGCCGGGACCCGGCCTGGAGTCTGGACTGTCAGATCACGGGAGACAGAACTCACCGGTGCGGTAATTCATTGTGTACCCATGTAGGGGTCGCAGAAGGTGCGTAAACGTGTTAAGCATGTGGTAGGTATCCGGATTCCGCACGTCCCGGATTGGAATATCGGTTTGTCGCTGTGCTGTGATGGGCAACACTCGGTTGGTTGTCGATGTAGAAGGTACGTAGAAGCTGTGCCGCCGAGAGAGGTAGATAGGAGGGCCAATGATCGGTATGAAGTCCGAGGCCTCTGCGAAAACGAGCGGTGCGGTCAGGCTGTTCGAGACTTCGTTACCTCTACCCATGTGGGCAGGCGGAGCCCGGGGGGCTGGTGAGGAAAATGCAAGCAGTGAGATGCGCGAGTGTGAGCTCAGGGAGCGAGAAGAGAGGGAGGAGCTGAGGCGACTCGAGTAGGAGGAGTTTGTGGAAGTTGAGCATCGTACTGAGGTTGAGGAGGGTGCTGAAGTTGAGGAGCCAAGGTCGCCGTATGGCTGGCAAACCTCACGTCTCTAGCCAATTTTTCTAGGGCAAAAAACAAAAGAAACACCGTGTACGCCTCACTAGGATGTAGAAAAGTAATAGTATCCTAACTTGGCCGAGCGCATATTTTCTAATGATATCACTGGTGGTGCAGCCAGCCACTGCTATCACGGCCAGCGCCACAACGCCACTAAACCCACACCCACTCGATCCCCAGAAATGCAGCCGCAAGAACACCATAAAGTTGACTTTCCAATGTAGCTCTGTAAGAAGGTATTTGTGATCCTTTATCCGATCGGGTGCCAATGTTCACCGAACTATGTACAGGATGAAATTTCGGCTTTCCGGATAGCCGGTGAGCTCCTTGACCTCAGCCGCCAGACCTGTATTCTTGTTATTCAGATCCCAGGCAGATTGAAGTACCTCACACAGGTCTCTCCTCATGACCTCCGCCTCCCCCTTTACTTTGGAGTCATGCGACCGGAGGATTTCCTGAATCGATTTCGCTGGAGGAGTTTAGCTGAGTTCCAGCTGGCATCAGTCATGGGTTGATCATACCGCTCTCCTGGAGCACCCTACGTATTGTCTCAGGTAGTGATATGGATGGGTCGATGACACCCAGAATCGAGCCCTTCCCTCCTGCTACTTTCTCATCCTTCTCAGTCACAGCCTGCTTGGATTTCTTCCACCGAACGGACTCCTACACGGGAGCAGAGGAGCCTTGCTGCTGCTGGTGAGGGGCGCTCTCGGGGATGGTGATAGCCTTAATGAGGTGAGTGGATGACAGCTATTGGGAGCAGTAACGCGCACCTCCTGCTGTATAGACCCTACCCTGAGTGCTCTCTTCCTCCCAGTGTTGGGCCAATTCTGACCGGGTGTTCCAGGGACAACCTGCTTTTTGGTCAGCAAACCGTGAGGATGTGGGGGGATGTCCTATCTACCACCTTCTCCGGCACCTAACCGCGACCAGCGAGGTCCCAAGGTGCTGCCGGAACTCAGTGTGTAGATGACCCTTCCACTGTGAAATCATTCCTATTTCGACCGCGTTTCAGAGGGTTTGCGCATCGTCCATGGTGGCCCGGAACTCCACGCCGAACTGGCTGCGAAACCGCCGGAGTTGACACCAGCTGCTCGCGTCGAGATCGATGTCCCGCAGAGCTTCGTCCCTCGCTGCTTCCGCCACTGCTGTCAGCATCGCCCGTGGTAAGGTACAGGAGGAGAGGACGTGCCAAAGTAGTCGCGAATGGCCTGCTTGGTGTATTCCTGGTCTCGCATTCACTTGATATTGTTGGAGGGTGACATGGCGCTGGAAATGAGGGTTCTGCACGCGTAGAGAGATGGTCCTGCACGCGTAGAGTATGCGCGAAGACTCAGGGACGCAAAGTCACACGAAAGGTAGGGGTGCTGTGGTCGAGGTTGGGTGCGGACGCCTAAGCTCCTTTGAGCTTTCCTAGCGTCTCGGCATTCAACTTCGAGCAGTCTTCGACAACTGTACGTCCTCCCTACAGAAAAGAATGAACGGGCAACAGAGACAGTATAAAGCGATACAGAGGAACAAAAACAAGTTCCGTGATATCCATCTTCCGAGGTTTTGTCATGATATCTCTCCTCAGATGTCACTGATCGATCATTTACCATCGAGTTGGTGTGCGGGTGATGAGCCCTTGCTCGCGGCTCACCGGTACAGACTCCGTTCACGACATCGTCCAATTGCACGTATCATAATCTTCACCGTTTGATTCATCCATCAATCTATCCAATTTATTACCAGTGTGACAGTCTGGAGGACGATGATCGACGATGGATTTCGAGGTTCCGAGTGATTTGGTGTGAATCTAGAAAGACCGGAGTCTCGTCGGAACCGACAGTAGAACGAGCCCGACGGACTCCGGAGAGTGAAGAGTGCAAGCCGCAATCCAAGGTCATGTTAAGTATCTGTCTATCGTGCTGAGACGGTGGTGTGACGCATACCTTGAAAGGTGAGATACTCGATGGCTTCTGTCTCGCTTTCATATAATCCCCAGAACCAGCGAGGACTCAAGTATCTGGAACAATCTTACCAGGCCGTAATGACGCCCGATGAAGTAGTCGTGCAGAGTCCGGGACGGGATTACGGTCGATTACGGCCGATTACACTCGATTACACTCGATTGCGGCCGATTACACTCTGTCAGAGATATGTGATGTATTGTCTATCTCCTAGCCACCAATCCTCTTTATATACAGTCATAGGAAGAAGGCTCTGTCCGGGTCGGCAAACTTTGGCCGACAGTTTGGCCGACAGTTTGGCTGACTCGGCACGAACACCGAACTCCGCCGGGATACCAACGTACTCCGGACGGCTATTCTGACAGACTCGATTACACACGGTTACACTCGATTACACTCGATTACATTCGATCGCCACAGTCGTGCAGAGCCTGGGACTCCAGGCGTATCCATGGGTACGTACCGCAGCAACATCGTGAGAAGCGAGCTCTCTCCATATACAAGCTCTATGGATTAGGAATTCTCTGCATCAATCCCTTCAGAAGGTCGATAGATGGACGGTCTACTCTACCTGTGAGTTCGGATGGTACAGACTGCAGTCGACTGCCAACATGTGTACATGTCAGTCAGAAGAACCATAAGATGACATAAATCACATGGGAGAAGGCTCAGGCCTCCAACATAATGGCAAATAACACGGACTAAATAAAATGCAAGTGCCGTGGATCTGAAGCAGCGCTTCGCGGGTGATCTAGCGATGTGCGTCTGACAACGCAAGCCTTGACGGCAGTGACAAGCCACTGCAACGACGCTACGGCAATTCAATTCTACGCACTGCGTAGGGTTTTACCCGAGGGTTTCGCCGCCCACGCTTGCCCTCTCTCCCACTCCCTCCTTTATAAACCACCATCAACATCCTCTCTCTCCCCCTTCTTACTACATCATCACCACCTTCCTTTCTCTCCTTTTACTTTATACCTCCTCCATCACCATCGTCTCCCTCCTTTCACTTTCTGCCTACTCCACCATACTTTCACAATGTCACCCTGGCCTGCGAGCCTCGTCCAAACACCTCGGCGACGTCAGCAACCCCTCAAACCCTTCACAATACCGACAACTTGGGGGCTTAAGGTGCGTCACTCCCCGGCTTTCGCACCTCAAGCGAGTGATAACCATTGACTCCCTGCACAGGCGCATGAACGAACGATGAACCATCAGCAACAGCCCGACCTACCCGTTTGGATCGAGGCTGCTGCAATCAACATTGCCGGCCCTTCCCGGAATCCAGGACTACCTGGACTTCCGAGCCACCCTCCCTTCACACCACCAGTGTGCTCTGCGCCTTGCGCAGGCGGCGACCGACCTCCACTGGATTGTTCGGTCGCAGCGAGGGGAGGCGCGTACACCTAGGTGTACGCGCAGCTGGATAAGCACCCCGGTGCTTGTGCAGCTTCGGCACCGCGGTGCCAAGGGAGCGAACGATGTAGCGATCGCGATGGCGCGTGTGGAGCAACTCCACCCATTCCACCCCCCCCCCCCCCTTCTCCAGCTCCGTAACGAGCTGGAGAAGTATCCGAACGTGGAGGAGACTGTCTGACTCAGGATGATCCCCTGAACGCCGGTGCTTGGGCATATGTCCAACCCAGGCGGGTGGAGGCCTTCCTCAGACAGTCTTCCAAACACTCCCCAGCACAGCCGGTCCCCGGTACGCCGGTCGTGCCCCAAGCGCATCGACTGCGACCGGCCAGCATCGAGCTGGGCCATATCGGGGAGGGGGAGGAGCTGCTCAACCAACTGGGCTCTCGGGCTGTCGCCGTTAGAGGAGAAGAATTTATGAACTTTGTTTCCGATTGCTGGAGGGGTCTAAGGAGGGGTGATGTTGGATTGTTTTTGTTTTTGTCTTTTGCTTTGAATGTATATATTTTTGTTTTTGTATTTCGATTTGCATGAATGATGACTTTTCCATCTTTTCCATCTTTTCCTTGAGCTTTTTTCTTATTCGGCTGCGATGACTACGGCGGTCGAATGTGAGCAGATGGCCACCTCTTTTTTGCAATTAAAATTAATGCATAGAATGTGCGTACCTTCCGGATCTCAGTGTCTGCTCGAGAGAAACGGGTAAATTAACTGAGATGTTGCAGTTTCCGCGCCTCTTCTCGCTTGGAGGCGGGAGTGCCCTGCCACCGTCATGCGGCCTCGTAGTCCCCTTCCAACGTCTCACTTGGTGGTGGGAGTGCCTTGCCACAGCCCTGCGACCTCGTCTCGGTCGGAGGCAAAAGCGCCCCGCCATAGTCCTGAGACTTTGTCTTGCTGGCTGACGGGAGCGGCCTGTCACAGTTGTGCGGTCTCGTCTCTCGTGGTGGTGGGAGTGCCCTGCCACAGTCCTGAGACCTCATAGTCCGCCCCCAACGCCTCGCTCGGAGGCCGACCAGTAAACTTCATCAGACCCAGAGAGCCATATGTCGGTGAAATGCTCATACCCTGGGGGTCCCAACAAGTGTCTGGTCGACAGAAACGGTTGAAAACTGACTGCGATATTCGTAGCAGATTTTGGTCCTGCTCGACTGTAGAGCACCACTACGGAGCAACTATATCACCTACGGCCGACCAGTAAACAGCGTCAGACCCCCGGAAGGCGAGACGTCGAATGGGATGTGCGTTCAGTGAGGATCCCAACGAGTGTCTCGTCGAGAGAAACAGATGAATACTGACTGCGATGTAGCAGATTATGATCGTGCTGGGCTGTGCAGCAACCAGATCGCCTACGGCCGACCGGTAAACTGCGTCAGACCCTGGGAACAATGCGTAATGTGGGAGGAGCATAGCGTGAGGATCCCAACGGGTATCTGCCCGAGGGAAACAGGCAAATACTGACTGTGATATAGCCGTTTTGGGCCGCGGGATGCCCAACTCGCTGTTTTATTGGTAATGGAGGCCACCATTCCGCGAGTTTGCAACCGATTGACACGGGACCTCAACACCATCCACTCCCATACATATTAGATACTTTCTTGTCATATAAAGTTCTCTGTGGGACCGCGATTTGATGGTGCAATTGGGCTGGGGGTGGCTGAAATCACGGTTTTCGTGATAGGGCGAGGCAGGGCGAGGCAGGAAGGGTGAGTCCAGTACCGCGTCCCTGGCAGCCAATCCACTACTGGGCCCATATCAGCGAGTCCAGTACTGCGTCACTGGCAGCGAATCCATAAATCCAGTACCGCGTCCATGGCAGTGACAAGCCACTGCAACGACGCTACGGCAATTTAATTCTACGCACTGCGTAGGGTTTTACCCCCAGGTTTGCGCCGCCCACACTTGCCCTCTCTCCCACTTCCTCCTTTATGATCCACCATCAACACCCTCTCTCTCTCCCCCTTCTTACTAATTCATCACCACCTTCCTCTCCCTCTCCACTTTTTGCCTACTCCACCTTCCACTTCCACTTCATACTTCTCCCTTTCAATTACCCCATAGTCAACTAGACGATAACCTTCCATACCTTCCATACCTTCGTAATGTCACCCTGGCATGCGGGCCCCGGTGGCCGCACCGCTGCGGTGTTTAGACAGGTGTGTCACTCCCCGGCACTCGCACCTCATCGCGAGTGATAACCACTGACTCCCTCCATAGTTGCACCGACATCTGATATCCCAACAATCGCTCCGAACGAACGAACGATGAAACCTCGGCAACAGCCAGCCCTACCCGTTCCGATCGAGGCAGCTGCCATCAACATCGCCGCCCCGCCCGGAATCTAGGAATACCTGGACTTCTGGGGCCCCCTCCCCTCGCACCAACACTGGGCTCTGCGCCTTGCGCAGGCTGCGACCGACCTCCACTGGAGTGTTCGGTCGTAGCGAGGGGGGGAGGCGTGATGCACCTGCCGATCAGATGTACGCCCGCCCAGCTGCACAAGCACCCCGGTGGTTGTGCAGCTGGGGCACCACGGTGCCAAGGGAGTGAACGATGTCACGATCGCGATGGCGCGTGTGGAGCAACTGCATCCCACCCCCCCGCCCCCCCCCTCCCCCCTCCCCCTCGCCGTTACGCAATACCACGACCTCAACTTTCAAGGGCCATTATGCGCCAGAACCACCCAAGATCTGGAACCAAACCGACCTTGTGATCCACCATTTCCCGCTCAGCGTTAGCACGGACATTCCACGAAACTTTCGCGGAATTTGGGGAGCTCCACTCTTACGAGTTTCTCCCAAGCATCCAGGAGTCCATGAGATACGGCGGCACTGTGCGCACGCTGATGCTGCCGCGTACACCGAGGTGTATATACGCGCAGCTGCACAAGCACCCCAGTGCTTGTGCAGCTTCGGCACCGCGGTGCCACGGGAGTGAACGATGTCGCGATCGCGATCGCGAGTGTGGAGTAACTCCACCCATCCCCCCCCCCTTCTCCAGCTCCGTAACGAGCTGGAGAAGTACTTGAACGTGGAGGAGACTGTCTGACTCAGGATGAGCCCCTGAACGCCGGGTCTTGGACATATGTCCAACCCCGGCGGGTGGAGGCCGTCCTCAGACGGTCAGTCTTCGAAAAACTCTCCAGCACAGCCGGGCTCCGGTACGCTGGTAGCCTGCGAGACTGCTACCGGCCAGGGCCCGGTGTCAAGTCGGGGAATACCAGGGAGGAGCGGAAGGGGGAGGAGCTGTTCAACCACAGGCTCTGGGGCTGTCGCCGTTGGAGGAGAACAATTGATGAGCTTTGTTTCCGATTACTGGAGGTGTGTAAGGAGGGGTGATGTTGCGTTGCTTTTATCTTCCGCTATGCATTACTTTTCCAATTTTCTCCATCTTTTCCATCTTTTCCATCTTTTCTTCAGCTTTTTTTTTATTCGGCTACGATGGCTACCTATGGTTCTTCCACCAGGATTGGAAAATAGTGCGGTATGTAGATCATACATGTGACGCAGCTAGACTACCTATTCCCCCATAGTATTGAGAGCTCCAAGTCCGGAACAAACTGCGTCGCAAGGCATTCGGAGATCTACTGCTCTGCAAGGTGTAAATCACTGGATGGCGGTGCTAGCTGGACCGCCGGATGGAGGACATCGCGTCGGTGGGTGTGGGCATATTCATCCGGCCGAGTCAACAGTCATGGTATCGAGACAGACAGAGCCACTTTTGATCATTACGCCCTTTGATCATTACCCCCGCCGTCCCTGCTGCCCCATGCCTAGAAACAGATGATCACAGCCCTCTGTGTGTACAAAGCATAGTATAAAAGCATAATCATCGTTCTCGTGTACATCAAATTGCAAATACCAACTCCACCACCTAGCTCGTGTTCAATCATTACAATACATCCCCGTACCACATCGCATCCGATCCCACCATATCATCCCATCGTGTAAATTCCACATCCCCCATATCTTCATACAGTATTAAGCAGAAACGATCACCCCCCAGCACCTAACCTCCAGCCGGAGCAAGCAATACCTCCAACAAATCCATCCCGCCAACATCGACGCCCATAGTCCCCTGGGTAACGCCCTCGAACCCCAGAATCGGATCCAGCGGCAAGGCCAGCCAATCCTCGCTGCCCCAGCCCCAATCGTACACGCCCTGGAGGTCCTCTTGCTGCTGCTGCTGCTGCTGCTGGGGTTCCCACGCCATCTCCCCTACTGTCGTGTTGTTGTTGTTACCGTTATTGTTGGGGAGCGGTTCCTCCAGCGGCATTTTAACGAAGCGGGCGCGGACGCGGCCGACGAGGCCAGCCAGTAGGTCTGCGAACCTGAGACCGAGGTGAACATCATCCACAGCCGCGGAACGCAGGCACGTGCAGACGGACTCGACGAGTTCGAGGGAGCGCTCGACCTCGACCTCCTTTGCGCCGAGGGAAAACGTTTTGAGGAGGAACATGCTTGCGGAGAGGATGCGGAGGTAGATTCTGACGGGCGCGTGCTTGAGGTAGCCGTGCTCGTACATCGACTCGACGACGGTGGCGAGAAGCGACCGCGATGCGGCGACGACTTCGCGGATGAACCCAGTGTCCGCCGTGGATATGTCTGGGCGTGCTGAGCCGCCCGAGAGCGAGCAGCGGTCGATGACTGCTTGCAACGAGAGTGAGTTGATGTAGAAACGGACGTGCTCCCACTCCATTTCGAGGATCGAGCGGATGGGCTGCGGGAGCTGGAGGGCCTCAAGGCGGTCGCGCCAGGCGCGCAGGAGGGGCTGGAAGTGTGTCAGGAGCTCGACGTAACGGCCAGAACGCATTATTTCGCGGGTTTGCGCTCGGCTGGGGAAGAGCAGCTCCGACGACTGCGCCATGAGATTGGTGAGGTCGACCCAGGCGCCGAAGACCGCGTCCTGGAGGGCATCGGGATCGGACCAATCTCCAGCGGTGGGGAGATGAGAGCTCGAGCTAGCAGCAGCAGGCGACAGCGAAGGTGGCACCATGGACGTCCAACCCAGGCGTGACGCCAGCTGTTTGATGTAGACCAGCAGCAGCTTCTGGATCCTTGCTGCGCGCTCATCGTGGTTGTTGTTATCGAACACACCGAGTTCGTATGCGAGTGCGAGTGCGTTCCCCAGTAGCATCCAGCTCATGCGGTCACTGCGGTATGCCGGCTCCAGGATATTTTCGATTTTATCTCCCAGTCCTTCCACGACTCTCCGCGACAGCGTTGGCGACGATGGGTCCTTCTCGTCCTTCTCGTCATCCGACATGTCGGAAATCCCCCAATCGCTCTCTTCCACGTCCATGGGAAAGTGCAATCCGCGGACATGCCATTCGGAAAGGATGAGCAGTCCTTCGACAGTACCAATGGTGCGGAGGCCGCGACCGGTTCTGGCGGTACTGGCGGGAGAGAGAGTGCTACCGGCAGGAGGTCGAGGAACGCCGAGTCCACCCCAGCCGCCACCCCACATCAGGCGCTCGAACGCACTGCGGACCTCGCGCCAGAGCATGTCGTGGATGGCAAATGACCTCGACACTCCACCCGGGCCCGGGAGCGTCATGTAGCGTGACGCGACCGTCAGGATGGTCGTAGCCAGGAAGGGCTCATTGCGCAGCAAGAGATGATGATGGCGGCGGTGCGAGACGTGGAGGAGCGTGGGGTTGGTCAGGGTCGGTGACAGCGGGTGAAGGTGCTTATAGAAACTGCAAGGGTCAGTAGGTAATCAGCGCGCGTTCGGTAACAAAACCACGACTACAGATGTAGGGTGGGGGAGAGGGAGAGTTACTATTCGACATATCCGATAGCCTCACGGGCGCTAAACCATCCGGCCTTGACGAACCGAAACTTGTTCCATGCCTTGAGCGCCTTCTCGGTGCCGTCATCGTGCACTGGGAGGCGCATATTGCCCGTCTTGGGCGAGGTGCCAGAATTGCTGCGCTTATGCAGGTGCGAGCTGGTATGGCTGTTGGTAGTGGCTTCGCTCTCGTCGGGCACACCCGAGAAATGTACACTCTGGTTGTTCCACCGCGGCACCGCGGCTGTAGCCGACGATGTCTGCACTGGCGAGTGCACATGGGAGTGGCTCGAAGACGATGGCAGTGGAGCCGGCGAAGGTTGCGTCGACGTGCTTCGGCTTTCGTTCTTCATCATGGGTGTGTCTTTTCCAGCCGCCTCGATCAGGGTTAATAGTGCCTCGTGAGAGTTGTACACCTCGGTCTGCAGCAACGTATCGGTAGTCGTGGCGGTTGAAGCGGGAGGTGGCGGTGGTGGTGGAGGCGGGCAATCGGCACGATTAAGGGCGGGATCTATGGCGGCGTAGGTGCGATACGACGGCGAGTAATCGGGCGAATGGAAGACTGGATCGTGCTGCTGCGGTTGCGGATGGGAGTGGGTGCGTACGCGCTTCGGTTCACCGTTCTCGAGGGAGTCCTCCGGCTTCCGTACACCGCGTCCGCGGCCGAGGCCGGGAGGGATATCGACGGACGGGGTACGCTTGCGGCGGGTGGCAGAGAAGAAGCATTCCTAAAGCACCAAAGGATTAATAAGGGATCAATGAGGGTTGGGATAGCCGCAATGGAGGGATGAAGAGAGGGGCTACCTTAGATTCACGACGGCAACGAACGCAGGGTGGATCGTGGGGAGCTTCGACGGAGCCTAGGTCACATCGAACTTTCCGCTGACGACATGGGATGCATCTGAAGACAGGAGAATTGAGCTAGGTGCTGGAAGTGATGAAAGAAGACAGAGTGGGGTGACGGACGCTTGATATGTTCGCTTATGCGCAGGCTGAGGGGGAGGACGAGGGCCAGGGGCTATCAATATCACATGGCACCGCGTCAGTGGATCTTGATCTGAAGATGTGAGGAGCTGTGTACAGGGAGGTCAGACGGGAAGGAAGGGGTGGGGAAGGGTAGGGGCTGAATGTTCGCCGACTTGACGTGGAGTGATCGGGGTAGTACGTGGGATGATGTATCAGCGGGCGTGCGAGCGTGCTGTGTGTCTGTACCTTGAGGTGACTGGGAATGCGAATGGGAGTGCGAGCGGGAGTGCGAATGAGAGTGCGAGCGCGGATGGGTAGCGTCGGATACGGACGGACGATGGGGATGAGGCGGTTGATGGTCTTGCGGGGTCAGAAGAGGTTGCTGATGTAGATGCCCAAGCTGTTGCCGCTGCTGATGCTGGTGCAACGGCGGGAGGGAAGCAGCAGTGAAACTCGGCGAGGATGATGGCATTGCTCGGTCGGAATTCCCCAGTGCAATGGTTACTATGAGCTGACTATTCCCAAAGGGCGATAGGCGATTTGTTTCCTCGGCTGGGATCGGTTCGGTTTCGACTGGCACGCGTTCCTTTCTGTCGGATCGGGCACTGACACTTCCGGAAGGGTGGGGGAGTGTTCTCTGCCGTTCTCAGCGGGCCGCGACTTGTCGCTTATCGCGGATTTGTTTAATCAAGGTCGCGCGCGAAGGAGTGGGGAGGAGTGAGTGGAACCCTGCGGCGTCGATCCCGCGTGTTGGGATTCGGGTTCTTCGCTTTGCGATGCTTTGCTGCGCTCCGCTATGATCTGATCTGGCTGGGGGTGGTGGGGTGGGGTGGGGGGCGCGCCGGGGGTGTGTGGGGCGAGACAGGCGTGGCGTGGCTTGTTTGGATTTAGGACGTGTGGCCAGTGTCGGTTAGTTGAGGCCCGGACGGAGACTGGAGATCTGGTCTCGAAAAACACCCCGGATAGTTACGCGTTATCCAGGTAAGAATCGCTTTTCTTTTTTTTTTGGTGGGAAAGGGTGGGGGGGGGGGGGGGGGGAGGATACGGGGGAAGGATAAGAGATGTGAAGAAAATCTCTGAGCCGCCGTGTGCGCGTTTCGTCCTCCTGGGAAGAGGGGTACCGTGGGCACCTTGATACCGCGGATGGGCACCGTGGAGAGGGGGGCAATTCTCAGAAAAATAAAACGATGTCGGCTTCCACCGTATCGGTTCTGCTCGCGTATGGGATGTGTGCTTTTGCTCGGATGCTCAGCGTGTGCGCGGAGCGTGGATGAGGGTGTGCTGTGTAGATTGGATGCTGAGGAGAGCAGCGATGCCGCGCTTTGTAGCGGTAAATGGAGGGAAGCGACGGTAAACAGCGGGCCGTGGTCAACTGATGGGGCGATGAGCCACGGGACGCGGACGGGGATGCGAGCACTGGCCGAGGGTGCAAGTGCAAGCGGGCTGAGTTCAGGCGGGATGAGAATTACGCCGTGGCTGGGGACAGTTCGGAATTCCAATGGCTGGCTGGGTGGCTGCTGAGTTGATGGATGACTCGGTCGCTGACTGGATTACTGGCTGACTTGCCGACTGGCTCGTGATGACCGAATGGAGCCGGTGATGGCATGCACGGCTGGCCGACTTGTGTGACGAGACCCGAGTGTTAATCGGGATCGCCCGGTGTCGCACACACTGATGGACGGTGGCTCAACTTCAAATCGGCAGGGCTGTAGATCCATGCAGCTGGAAACGGCTGTGGCTCAACTTCGGCAGGGATAGCTGAAGATCGACATGAATGTGGCTCAAGCTCAGCGGGATAAACTTTAAAGCAGTGTGGCTCAAGCTCAGCGGGATATAAACTTTAAAGTAGTGTGGCTCAAGCTCAGCGGGATATAAACTTTAAAGTAGTGTGGCTCGAGCTCGACACAGCTGTGGCTCAAGCCCAGCAGGACAAAGTGGTTTGACTCGAGCTCGACATAGCTGTGCTCGACACGAGTGTGCTCGACACGGCGTCGTTCAAGCAGCGGGACATCACGTGGTATTGCTCGAGCTCAACACGGCTATGGCTCAAGCTCAGCGGGACAGAGGTGCATTGCTGAAGTTTGACACGGCCGTGGTTCAGGCTCATCGGGATATAAAATACCTAGTAAACCTCAAGCTCGGCACGGCTATTCTCCGCACGACTTCGATGAAGCTCGACACGGCTGTGACTCACGCTCAGCGGGATATAGAGTAGTTTGACTCGGACTCGACACGGCTGTGCTCGACACGGCATCGCTGGAGCTTGGCATGGCTGGCTCTAGCTCAGTGGGATATAATGTACTATGGCTCGAAGTCGATACGGCTGCGGCTGCAGCTCAGCGGGATATGGAGTAGTTTGACTCGAGTCCGAAACAGCTGTGCTCGACACGGCGTCGCTCGAGCTCAGCATGGCTGGCTCAAGCTCAGCGGGATATCGAATACCGAGTAAAGCTCGAGCTCGACACGGCTCTGCTCGACACAGCTGTGGCTCCGGCTCACCGGAATGTAAAATATCTAGTGAAGCTCGACCTCGACACGGCTGTGCTCGACACGGCATAGCTCAAGCTCTCCCTCCCGATTGCCGGTTTGAAAGCCATTGCTTGCTCGCGTGCGTTTAGTCGAGTTTGACCTAGTGCAGGCGCGGCCCATCGCCGACACAATTGACCATCGGGCCGAGGCCAAACAAGATTCGAGCTCAGCGACGATACGATGCCAACAAACAACTACCCACGATGCAATGCGACGCCCTGCTTTGTTTGTTAACGTCTTGCCCAATACGTCGCCCCGCAGAAACAAGTCGGCAAACTTTCTGCCACACCCATACAACCAGTGATCAACTTCCACTCTTCCTTCCTCTTTCCTTCATCATCTCGCAACACCCATAGAACCAGTGATCAACTCCCACTCCTCCTTCCTTTCTCCTTCATCATCTCGCAACCAGAAGTCTGTTCCGAGATCAACTCACACTCCTCCTTCCTTTCTCCTTCATCCTCTCGCGAGTGTCGATTCCCAAATCATCTCCAGCTCCACCGACAATCGAAGGGTATATCTTCTCTCCCTTAATCTTTGCACTTCGTCATCACCCCTACCGTTCGACATCTAATCCGGCTACTTACCTACAGTGTACTACCAGCAGCAACAAGATGAATTCTGGTACTAAGCGAAAGATGTCGGACCGCGATGGTGAGGATGCGGCAATTCCTGCCGCTGTCCCTGATGCACCCCCCGCAAACGCTATTACTGCTTCTGTCCCCGTGGTGCAGCTGGTGAATAATGCAGTCGACCAAGGCCAGCAGCTCGATCCGAACGGATCAGACCAGATGACGCAGAAATTTGGAAGGACCACGCAGGAGCTCATTCCGATGCCCTACGCCGCCCAACCTACCCGTCTCGCAACACGTCTTCTCCCGTACCAACTTCAAGTAAGCCAAGTTCAATTGCCTGGGTTTCGTGCATCTGGATCTTGGGGGAAACTGACGTGTCCGACTACTATTATAGGGTCTCGAGTGGCTCCTGCAGCAGGAAGATCCCGACTTCCCCACAGTTGACAAGGAAGTAAAGCTGTGGAAAAAGATGAGACCAGACTATTACCTCTACATACAGACGGTAACCGGATGGCGCAGCATGAGCATCCCACACCTTGTCAGCGGGGGTATACTCGCGGACGATATGGTTCGTGCTCGCTCGCCCGTTCGTCGTCGACCATGGGAATGCTGACGAGTCGGTGTAGGGCTTGGGTAAGACGCTTCAGACGATCGCGTTGATCGTCTGCGGCGTCGATGCCTACAAGTACACTGCGCGCGGGACGAAGGAGAAGGTCTCGAACGAAAATCCCACTCTGATCGTTGCTCCCGTGTCGGTGATGTCCAACTGGACCGAGCAGGTACGAATCACTCTTCTCGGTGATGCCTGTGATGGGGTGCTGGAGCACGGCTGATGCATGGCTTCAAGATTGCCCAGCATGTCTCTAAGGAGAACCCCCTCAAGGTCGTGGTCTACCATGGACCACGGAGACACTCAACAATTTTTGCCGACTATGACGTGGTTGTAACAAGTTACTGCACTATGGCCGCCGATTTTGCTGCTCCAGGTACCCGACAGTATGTCCTCTCCCCAACCGATCCTCCCCCGTTTGATGAATGCCGCTGAACACCGTGACCGTAGGACCTTCGAAGGGAGCTGGCGCCGCCTAGTCCTGGACGAGGCCCACATGATCCGGAGCGTTGAAAGCGCCAACTACAAGGCTGTCGACGCCGTGAAGGCTCATTCCCGCTGGGTCCTGACGGGTACGTCTGTTGGCAACGGCCTTATGGATCTGTGGCTCCTGATCTGTCTCTTGCAGACGAAGGACTCATTGGAACATCGGGACACGTTCCGCTCGCTGTGTCCGACCCCTCACCAGCTGAAGAAGAGGCCCCGGTTGATTCAGAAATCGCAAGAGGTGATGAGGGCATACGGTCTTCGCCGGACAAAGAGCATGGATTTCATCCAGCTCAGGACGCCGGCGAAGACATGTATCATCAAGAAGGTCCAGTTCTGGCCGGAGGAGAGGAGGAAGTACAGCAAGTTGGACATGGAGGCCAACCATGTGTACCGCATGGTCGCGTATCGGGTTGAAAATGGTCAACGTGTGGGGAACGACAGGATGAAGCTGCTGAAGATTGTCCTGAGAATGCGGCAGCTTTGTGATCATGGGGAGCTGTGCGGACAGAGGCTGGAGAGCCTCATGAAGCTTTCGGGTGTTGACCGAGTGGAACTGACTCCTGAGAATGTCAAGGCCTTGCAAGATGTACTGGGGATGGTGAGTTTTGTATTCTTCCGTCTGTTGTGGGATAAATTTGCTAACGCGAATAACAGGCCATTGAAGCTGAGGAAGACTGCCCAATCTGTCTGGAACGATTGAACAATCCGCGCATCACCGTCTGCAAGCACATTTTCTGTCTCAATTGTGGGCATCATCTCCATCCGATCGACTATTGAGTATTGGCCCGGCTAACAAGATGCAGGCATCGCCACATTCATGGGATTGCAGGGCACGTTTCCAATGTGCCGCGCCCGGCTCCCAAACATCGTCAACAATCTTGTTGAACCTTCCGTTGAAGACCTCGACAGCACCGCCAACCTTCCCGAGCATTCCGGATCCTCTTCCAAGATCTCTGCCCTTCTCGAAATCCTCACAGCTACACGGACCAAAGACGCTACCATCAAGACAGTAGTATTCAGCCAGTGGAAAAACTTCCTCCGCATCCTTGCGCCCTACTTGACCAACGCCGGCTTTGACATCGCGCAGATCGACGGATCAATGTCGCTCCCCAAGCGTGACGCAGCAATCAAGACCTTCGGCGAGAAACCCACGTGTACGATCCTCCTCACCACCCTCGCAGCCAGTGGAGTAGGTCTCAACCTCGTCATGGCCAGTCAGGTCGTCCTCATAGACTCCTGGTGGTCGCCGGCGGTCGAGGATCAGGCTGTTGACCGTATCTACCGCCTCGGACAGACGCGTGACGTGACGGTCTGGAGGCTCGTGATGGAGGACAGCGTGGAAGAGCGTGTGCTCGAGGTACAGAACAAGAAGCGTGTGTTTGTGGCGGCCGAGCTCGGCGAGGGCGGGATGGAAAAGACGCTCGAGGATATCAAGGCTGTGCTGGCTGAAGATGCGGCCGAAAATCTTGAGGCGGATGACGATGAGCCCAAAGACGATGAGCCCAAAGACGATGAGCCCAAAGAAGATGAGCCCAAAGACGATGAGCCCAAAGACGATGAGCCCAAAGACGATGAGCCCAAAGACGATGAGCCCAAAGACGATGAGCCCAAAGACGATGAGCCGGAAGATCATGCGAAGCAAGATCGTGGCGAACCGGATGCCTAGGCGGACCTATCTATCGACGACATCTCGAACGGCTGCGAACATGGCTTGCGCATCTACCTATTACTGACTACATGGCGGGAGAGCGACCTTTTAATACAACGATTTCTTTCTTTTGTTTTCATCAAAACGTTTACTGGCGCACATCTGGGTGGGAACTGTCTGGTTTTTCTCGGTTTCTTTTTGCAGATACAATTCTAGATACCATTGTTCTGTGCATTTTACTGGTGCACATCTAGATGGATGGGTGTTGTCTGCTTTTTTCTCGGTTTTTTGGTTGGTATACACGGTGTGTCTTTTCTTTCTCTGTACCTGCAGATGGTGCTCTAGATATCATTACTTTTCTGCATTTACTGGGTCGCGTCTAGATGGATGGGCGTTGTCTGTTATGTTTGTTCTCGGTTCGTTTCATTTGTGTTGTTGAGATCTCCGCTTTGTGTCTTGTCGTTTCTTTACTGGTGTACAAGCGGATAGTATTCTAGATGGTCAGACTCGGAAATCAATAGCGTAGTGATGACCTTGTATATTCCATGAAGCAGGTCCTTCGCCAGACAGATCAGTCATAAGGTATTCGTCCACGAAGTAGTCCTTACTTGCACCACCGCGAGTGCACGATTAAGCCATCTGTTATTCGTCCACGAAGCATACCGTGCTCAAACACCTACTACTATGACTACATGATGACGCCATTCGGTATTCGTCCAGTAAGAAGGTACTCCGTATCTTCTAGTTTCGAGACCTGCAGTGAGAGCACGAGAACACTCATTCCCGTTGCGATATCTCACTCGGTCGCATAGTCACGTGAGAAGCACTATTCTTGTCGACTACCTACGATTTGGGCCGAATGGGGAGGTGAATCACAGCGGCATTCAATATTCGTCAACGAAGTACCTCGGACTTGCAAGACCGTGAGCGGATGATTGAGCCATACGTTAGTATTCGTTCAAGAAGTAGTCCGTTGTAATCGAGTATCGTACCGTGCCAGCACGATTAAGCAACATCGTACTCGTCCACGAAATATTTGATAGTTCTAAAGCCTAATATAGTGAGACTGTGAGGACACGAGAACCGCTCATACTCGTGGCATTATCACAATATATCACTCGATCGAGTACTAGTCACACTGTCAGGAAAAGTGGTATCGTGAGATAGTGTCCACTGTATCAGACACGACAGAAGGAGAGACATATATGCAGGATGGCGTGGGGATGCCTCGGATAGAGGCCGCACGCCGCCGCTCGCAACCTCCGTGTGAGAACGGATGATGAAAGTCCGCGTGATCTCTCATGACACGGTTCACGGAAGTGAGGCGGTAAACGGAAGTTCGAGATATTATGACACACACGAAAACTACTATACTGGGATCAAGCGACCCGGATGGTGGACCATCTTCAGGAGCCTCTATACCGTGAGGAGAATTTTTAGTAGTGGTTTCACGGGGTCGTGGGTTGGTGGTAGCGGTCGGCTCTAAGCCTTACACACGAAATTTTAATCGATTTGGAATGACTGGGCTGGACTACCTACACAATCTAGAACACTGGCTGGTCATGAGCCTACTATACATATTGGGTCACGACGAGCTCGAAAGGTTACAGAATCATTGAGGATGCAGTTATCTGCGATAAAATTGAAAGGGAGAAAAACACAGGACCGACGGTAATCAGGCCAGCCTTATCCTCCTCTTCCTTGTCCTTCTCACAGAAATCGTTGCCGTTGTCGCCGTACGAGACGTATTGGTCCTCGTCCATTTCGCTCTCCTCACCGACATCGTTGTCGCTGTCGCTGTACGTGACGTCTTCGTCATCGTAGTCCTCATCCTCCTCCTCCTCTTCCTCGGAGGAGTGTTCTTCGAAGGAAGCTTCCTCTTCCAAACAATCGTTGGAGTCTTTGGAGGAGGCTTCCTGATCTTCTTCATCCTTCTCATCCTTCTCTTCCGCGCCACCTCAGTGGTTAGGATGTCCCTCCATCTCTGTAAAGAGATAGCAAAAAACATCCCAACAACCCTCCCTACACCCCACTAAACAAAAACAACCCAACATCACCCCTCCTTACACCCCTCTAGCAATCGGAAACAAAGCTCATAAATCCTCGAGCACCTATTCTAATGGCGACAGCCCGAGAGCGTGTCGCCACTGGAGCTCCTCCCCCTCCTCCCCCTCCTCCCCCTCCTCCCTGATGTGCCCTGACTTGATGCCAGGCCTCGGCCGCGGTTGAGGCTCCGGTTGCTGATGGTTTATCCCTTGTTCCTTCGGAGCGATTGTCGGGATATCGGATGGCGATGCGCCTTTGGAGGGAGTCAGTGGTTATCACTCGCATGGGGTGTGACTGCCGGGAAGTGACGCACCTTAAACACCGCAGCAGTGCGGTCACCGGCGGGACCCGCAGCCCAGGGCGAAATTGTGAAGCCACCGCGTACGCCACCCCCACAGCCCTGGCAGCTTCAGCCATAGCAAGTTAATTGCAATTTCGGAAGCTGGTTGAATGTATTATGTATTACGGTGAGAGAGGAGGCCGTTGCAAGTGTTTGTGTAGCTGCGCGTACGCCTGACCGCGGCAGGTGCTGCCCGCCTTGCCTTGGCAACGCGGTGTCAGCCTGCCTCCTCGCAGGTTTTCGTTATTGTGAAGGGTTTGACGAGTTGCTGACGTCGCCGTGGAGTGTGGACGGGGCCCGCAGGCCAGGATGACATTGCCAATTTATGGTAGGTTATCGTCTACTTGACTGTGGGGTAATTGAGAGGGAGATGTAGAAAAAGAAAGTGGATGGTGGAGTAGGTAGAAAGTGAAAGGATGGAGAGGAAGGCGATGATGATGTAGTAAGAACGGAGAGTGAGAGGATGCTAATGGTGGATCATAAAGGAGGAAGTGGGAGAGAGGGCAAGCCTGGTCGGCGCAAACCTGAGGGTAAAACCCTACGCAGTGCGTAGAATTAAATTGCTGTAGTTTTGTTACTGTGGCGTGTCACTGCCGTCGAGATTTGCGTTGTCATCCGCTCATAGCTCGATCACTTGTGAAGCGATGGCCTAGATCCACAACAATTGCAATTTGCGTTCTACATAGTCCGTGTGGAAGCTTGGGCTTTCTCTCATACTATGAATCGCGTCACCTTATGGTTCTTCAGATTTACATGTACACGTGTTGGCCGTCGACTGCAATCCGTACCATCCAAACTGGTAAATAGAGTGGACGGTCCAGCACACAACCGCAAGCTTACTGGATGACTGTATTACGGTTCCGTCGATGCGTCGTGAAAAAGTCGACTGGACTGTAGTAACCAGAATAATGGCTGCCTATGCGCCTACTATGCATACTAGTCATCCAGTCATAACAAGTTTGAAAGGGTACAAGTCATTCAGTAATCGGGATGCAGTTATCTGCGATAAAACAGAAAGAAAGAAAAACACAGAACCGACGGTAATTAGGCCACCCTTATCCTCCTCTTCCTTGTCTTCCTCACCGGCATCGTTGTCGTTGTCGCTGTACGTGACGTCCAAGTCATCGTAGTCCTCATCCTCCTCCTCCTCTTCCACGGAGGAGTGTTCTTCGGAGGAAGCTTCCTCTTCCAAACAATCCTCCGAGTCTCCCCGATATCGTTGTGGTTGTCGCTGTACGAGACGTCTTCGTCATCGTAGTCCTCATCCTCCTACTCCTCTTCCTCGGAGGAGTGTTCTTCGGAGGAAACTTCCGTTTCCAAACAATCCTCCGAGTCTTCGGAGGAGGCTTCCTCCTCTTCTTCATCCCTCTCCCCCATCTCTGTAAAGAGAAAGCAAAGAACATCCCAACACCCCCCCCCCTACATCCCGCTAACTGCGCGGAAACAAAGTTCATTCCAGACCAACTATCCCAACGGAGACAACCCGCGGAGGAAATACTCCAATGGCGACAGCCCCAGAGGAATTACTTCAATGGGGACTGTCCCATAGCCTGGTTCAGAAGCTCATCCTCCTCCCTGATATGTCCGGACTTAATGCTGGTAGCGGTCGAGAAAGCCCACCTCCCTCTCTGCTTCGCCACCCTGGTGGCTGGTTTGCGCCCCCATTGCATGGGGGCTAGCAGCTAGGCTGCGGTCGGTTCATCGCTCGTTCGGATTGATTGTTGGGATTGATTGCGATGTGATCGTGTAGGGATGTCGGCGATTGAACGGAAGGGTCTTCTTCCGCATCTTCCGAGGAGGCTTGCTCCTCTTCGTCATCTTCATTCTCCCTTTCATCCTCCTCTTTCGCCACCATTGTGGCTCCTCCCCCCCCCCTCCTCGACTGCCAAAATGTGACGGGAGGGGGGCCAGGAGGGCCAAGTTTTGAACTTGGACAAAGTTGGAGTGGGCTGCGAGGGCTGTCCTTCTTGAGGAGGGAGGAGGGTAGGTGTGACAATTGGCCCCGCTCCCTGAAGCTCGGACGATGGTTGGGCTGGAGCAGATGTAAGCTCACGGGCGCACCTTCCAGCCTACCCCTCATCTCATCCTTCCGGGAGAGCGTAGTGAGAGCGGGTGAAAACAGAAATTCGATCGAGCGAAGCTTAGAGCCCCGGATAATGGTAGCACTGGAGTCTCAAATAGACACTATCCTCGCATTCGGAGGTGCCTGTGGGGGTGTCCGAGCATCGGGACCACACTTCTTCCTGTATTCGTCGGGCGCGAATGAGGCCACTCGGACCCGGAGGCGACCAACATCTGTTGGCGCATTCCCTCCTGTTGTGCCGTCCGCAAGACTTCACGATCGCGGAAGCCGCCAGCGGCCGGAGCAATCTCCTCCTGCGTCCGCAACGAGGATTGCGCGAGCTTCGGCAGCGATTTGGCCGGATTCAACGGGCCGGTCAGAGGTAGCAGCACGTCTGATTGTATCAGGTGCAAGATGTGAGATTCGCCGCCTGTAAACGTTGCGCAAGAGATATTAGCACTTTTATTTCTTTTCCGACGTGTACACACGATAATCAAAGCGTCTCATGTGTGGGACAGCTAACGATGGGGATGGATTAGGGGATGGTAGGAAGGGAAGTCTCCGGCAGAGAATGGTTTCAGTCACTGTGAAAGAAGGATGGAACATCGCGGAGGACAGGAGCAGTAAGTGTTACGTAAGTGTTACGTACCGTACGCCAAGCTGTTGGGAAAGAGAGCGAAAGTTGATAGTTGAGGAGGTAGAAGGGGGAGGGAGAGAGAAGAGATTGAGTGGAGTAGAATTGTGGTGAGAAGGGGAAGGTAGAACGAGGGCGATGATGTTAGAATAGTGATAAGGTTGGAGCTCGAGAGAAAGGAAGTTGATTGTGAAGTAGAACTGTAGTAAGATGGGAGGGTAGAAAGAAAACTGGTGGTGGAGTAGGAAGAAGCGAAGAAAGATAGAGGACGAAGGAAACGCGAGACCCTACGGGTTAAGCCCTACGCGGCACTTTCAATCGGAAGAAGCGGAGAAAGATAGAGGACGAAGGAAACGCGAGACCCTACGGGTTAAGCCCTACGCGGCACTTTCAATCGAATCACCGTAGCGTCATCCGTTGGGTTTTCCCTACCGTCGAGGCATGAGTTGATACGACTCGGCTGAAAAGCCACCGTGGTCACTCGTCCAAGATATTGCACACTTGTCATATTGGTCATATGCGCCAGGTTTTGCGCCTCCTCGAGTGCGCCTCGAGCAACCTGTTTATTCTCATACTTGCTTCTTCTTCTGCTTTACTCTCGGGTATTTCGAGCTGGTCATTCGCTGTGTTCTGCGAGTGAATCGAGCAACTGAAAAATATCAATCACACACTCGTATTCTCAACATGAGTTGTTGATATTATGCGTCTTATTACCTGTTCCGGTGTCACTGCTACTTTCCACTGTCCTTTGCATACTGTCCTCGTTTTCTTCGTGGTTGCTTAGCATTGTCTTTGGCTTCTCATTAGAATCAGCCTCGTCAGCTGAAAGCCTTCAAGCCACCAGCCCATTCCGGCGACGACTATCGTCGCATCCTCTGTTTGAAACCCGGTCTACTCGTCGTCTACCCGAGCTCGTTTCCCTTATATGCAGTCTTCCTTCTCTTCTTTCTTGTAACAACACATCAATCAAGTCAAGTTATTCTCTCAATTCCAACATGAGTTGCCACCTGCGACGCCAGTGAGGATCCGTGAAGCGATGCGGCAGAAACAGGGTTTTACAAAGTCCGGGCAGGCTGTACGAGCTCGCTCCGATTCCACTGACCTCAGTAGAATCGGGGGATACTCCAGAAGGCTGTCAGATTATGGGACGTCCGGAGATGACAATGTCCCTAGTATACTCTAGTGGAGTATCCGAGCTCGGGCGACGGGTGACGGGCGACGGAACACCGACATCCTGAAGGGATCGATGCAGAAATTTCCTAGGTAGTCTATGTAGCTTGTATATAGAGAGAGCTTGCTGCTCGCGGTGTTGCTGCGGTATCGAATATTATCAACATGTTTATCTACCTTTTATATTCAACAATGGCAGTCATTTTTCTGGAGGGAGCGTTTTCTCCTGTCGTCATGTCGCTCTATTGTTTTTGTTGAATGGATGATATTATAGATACCGTATAACATAAAGAACAGCGAGACTTCTCTATATGCAAAGCTCCAGATTCTCAGCCGACCGTGATGTCCTCGGCGGCGTGTTAATAGCCCGGCAGCGTCTTAGTCGTCCGGCGCTCGGTCAGCCGTCGTGCGGTGGAACTCATCGCCGAACGCCAGATTTACAGTTTTTCCGTTGTATGGGTACCACTGTTGGAATTCGACTGCAGTCGACAGCACTCCGTTTCCTTCAACGTTCCCGGAGGGGCAGATCGTCCTGAATACACCTGCAGAAGAATCGGATGACTAAAATACAGTCCCGCGAAAGGGCAGGGAAAGACTAGGCTGTACTGTACTATCTAGAACACTGGCTGGCCACGAGCCTACTATACATATTGGGTCACAGCGAGCCCGAAAGGTTACAAAGTCATTGAGGATGCAGTTATCTGCGATACAATTGAAAGAAAAAAACAGATCCGACCGTAACCTGCACACCCTCCTCCGCCCCCCCCCCCCTTCCTCGTCCTCCTCCTCAGCACCGTTTTCGTTGTCGCCGTACGAGGAGCTGATTGAATGGTCTTGGAAAAGAACTTTTAAACGTCAGTAAACATCCGACCTCATCGAACACAAGAATTGCTTACCCTTCGATACGTGCTTCACGATTGTCGTCGAAATCGGCATGAGGACCTCTGCCGTACTGGTCATTCGAGCTCGCGTGGGACGTCTGTTGACCTCCTCGTCGGATCGGAGTCAGTTCTCTCGATGCCGTCGCCATCGGAGAAAACGGTAGGTAATCGACTATCGGTGATGGCGGATAGATGTGAGAGTTTGCCGGCGGTGGGCCCAGCGCACGCATTATGCGATCGTATCGCGAAGGTCCTTCGTTATGAGCACCTCTTAGGACCTCTTCATCTTCGCCCTCTTCGTCCTCCTCACCGACATCGGCTTCTTTGTCTTCTTCCTCCTCCGAGTCTTCGGGGGAGGAGTGTTACTCGGAGGATGCCTCCTCTTCAAAGTCGACCTCCGAAAATTCGGTGGAGGCTTCCTCCTCCTCGTCTTCATCATCGGTCTCCTCGATCTCTTCTTCGCCACCGTGGTGGCGCGTTGATCCCGGCATCACTGGGCGGGGTCCAGGAGCTGGTTCGACTGTCCGAGATAGATCACGATGATGTCGTCACGGATGTCGTCGAACTCCGGCTGGTCGAGGCGCTGGATCGTTTCGTCGAATACGATCGATGCGTCCGGATCGTCGATGGCGCTGTGGCCACAGATCAGAAGTTGGGGCAGCCGCTGCAATGTCGGCGGAGTTTCGCTGGTGCTCGATCGCCCAAATGGCGCCGAGAGCGGCCAGGAAGGCCAAGATGTGGCGGTGGAACTAGGACCGGGCACTAGGCATCCAAGTTGTCCTGGGGTCGGGATATTTCGGGTTGCAGGTGGGGTATTGTAGCGGCCAAACGTTGTCTGGTGGGTTGTAGGTTTGTAGGTGAAGATGATTGGTTTGAATGGTTTTTAGTTGCGTTACGCGGTGGGAGGTTATCGTCCAGTTGATGGTTGAGTACGAAGAATGTGGCGGAAGAAGGAAGATGTTGATAGTGGATTAGGAAGAGGGGAGAATTGGGGGGATGTAGGGGTGGAGGGGAATCCTTGCGGGTTATGTCCCGCGCAGTACTTTCAATTGAGTCGTCGCAGCGACGCCACTGTGGATCTTCGCTTTTTTTTTTTTTTTTTTTGTTTAATCATTAATTGCACTCTTTTTGTCTCGCTCGTGAACTGAGACCACTATTCGTAGTTGACTGTAGTCGACTGCAGCGCCTCCCTGGGACGGAAAGGGAGGAGGTTTTGGGGAAGTACTAAGAACTCAGCACGAGCGGGAGGTAGAAACACGAATTTTCTGACAGGGTAGGAATGCGGGGGAGAAAGTCAGGAAGAGTGAGAAGCACGCCTGCGGGTAAAACATTCGGGTCAGATAATAATGGACTGGAATATGTAGAACACTAGCAGCCAACGAGCATACTATCAATCTTCTCCCACGACGACTACTGAAAAGGATAAAAGGTCATTGAGGATGCCGTTAATTACGATATAGTTGAAAGCAAAAACAATAACAACTCCTTCAGCTCTAAATCTGTCCCCTTCCTCATCCTCCACATCTTCCTCCTCGTCTACATCGTAGTCCACGTATTCGGCCCTCATACTACTTTTTCCCGGCAGGTTAGAGAAAATACAAAGTCATTAACGATGCGGTCATCTGCCATACAATTGAAAGCAGAAACAAGATCTGATTCTCCGCGTCAAACTTAGCGCCCATCTGTGTTTGGAAGGCTTCTTCAAAACACAAGTAGACAAGAACAATAAAAATACCTTCAGCTCTGAAGCACCGCCGCTTCCCCCTCGTTCTGCTGTTCATCTTCCCCTTCCTCTCTACCCTCGTCGCCTTGTCTGCCTCCTCCTCTTTCTTGCCCATCGTCGTTATCCTCGTCTTTTCCTTCTTCCCATGAGTAGAGGCTTTCTTCTTTGTGGTCTTGAATCGTGGGAGACTGACTCGTATTCCATGGCCGTACTGGAATAGAGACCCGTCTTGCGAGGCTGTTGTGGCTTGATGAGGGTTCTCCGTGCCGGGATACTCGTCGTCTGTCAGGTTATGAGGAGAAATGACGGGAATCAAGCTGCTGAGATTTCCCGTGGGCGATATAGTCCTCGTCGTCCCCCTCGTCCTCCATCGTGTCTTTTCCTCCTCTGAACTCAGTTCCAGGCCCAATAAATCCAACTTCTCCAGAAGTAGGGGATGCTGACGTAAGGGACGACGATTTCGCGACAACCACGATGGGCAGGTGGGTGTTGAGGTAGCCGGGACGACGTTGGGGGTGTATGTCGGGGAGGCGGGGAGGGGGGTATGAGTTCGTTCGAGGCTGTTGGTGGTGGGGTTATATGGCTTATAGTTGCGACGTTTCGTGAGGTGAATGGGTATCGTACGATTGATGGCTGGAATAGGCGTGGGTCGGGGGAGAGTGAGGAAGTTGAGCGGATAGTTCGGGATGAAGGTGACGTGGTATGGAGGAGGACTGTTAAGAACGAGGGGTCGTCTAAAGCAGGGGTGATAGCGGATCGATGTGTGAATTTGCAACTATGGAAAGAGTGTTTTTGCGAAGGGGTGAGGCGGCGACGTAGATGTGGAGTAGAGCCGTACTGAGAAGGGGGATGTAGAAAAAGAAAGTTGATGATGGAGTGGTAAGGGCCCACGGATGGGGGTTATGATTGAGAGAATGAGATTTGTCAATTGTAGAAAACAGAAGCAACACAAGAAAAAATATGAAAACGTAAAGTAGCGAGACAGAAGTCGAAAAGAGATGAGAACGGCTACCCCGCATATATGGGTGGGCGGCGAAAACACAAAATATGGCCGACCGCATGAGGTCTGTCGACGACGATGTCCACAAACAAAAACAATCACAACAAACACAATTGTTCGAAGCATGTCCGTGAAAGTCCTTCTGCGGAAGTAGAGAAGTGCACACATGTCTGCCCAGGTCCGCTCGTGACTTATCGAGTCTCAGTCATGTCCAGCAATCTTGGCGCCCCGCCCCATACTATCAGACACTGGCCTCTGTCGAGACTCACCGTTGCCCAGACAGGTGACCGCTCTCTGGCACACTCGAAGCATGCTACGTGCTGCTCTACCCATCGGCTCCCGTGGCAGGAAGAAGAGGGATACAGAGCAAGCATTGGGTGGAGGAGACCCTCTGCGGCTACAAAGTCACGCTATTCTTGGCACTGAGTTGTCGTAGCGGTGTTTCTGTGGCCTGTCGAGAGACAGAGACATTGTCAGTTGTTCTCGCATGAACCCTGAGTAGAGATCATGGCAATATCACCCCGTTCCCCCACCCCGACTCCACGCCACTGCCCAACCCGGCTTGCATCGAGCGACCTGATGGGGCTTCCACTGGCCCACGACGGGACGCTTCCCTCTCTACCGTGGATTTTCGCTGCCATCAGCGCTTGAGTTGCCACTTGTACCGCGAGTGAGGACTCGTGCAGCGCTGCGGGAGAACCAGGGTGCTACGTTTTCGCCATGGTCTAGACACTGTTCTCCATCGTCCGGTCCGGACGGCCGTCCGGACGAGACGGATGGCCAAAACGGCGGACAGTCCGAGCCTGGGACGGACAGTTGCAAGATTTCTTCGTCATGTCCGAGGCTCGGACGGACGGCAGGCACGCGGTCCGTCTTCGTCCGAGGCCCAGGGCGGACGGACCGGACGATAGAGAACACTGGGTCTAGATAGGTAGGCTGCATGCGAAATAAAATGAAGAATTCTCTTTCTCTAGAACCAGCGTACACGTATGTTCTACGTAATCAGACAGGCTGGATGAGATCGGTGCAGTTTCACCCATACGACATCCGTGCAGTCTACCCATAACTGTACATTGGTGGGATAACTCTACGCCATCAGGGCAACCATATCTCTGGACGGCACTTTTTCTCATGCGATTCATCTCGCCTCATTGTTTTGCCTCTATACTCAAAAGCGGCCACCCGCACCTGTTCCCGGGCTACTACGTATAGCACTGTAGATTTTAATCCCCGCGCCCAGTCGCCTTCAGAAGCTCTAGGTTGCAACAAGAACACATCCAGATGCACTCCGCCCACTAGCTTACCTTGTTACGGATCAACTTGCCGTACCACACCGCCGAGCAACTTTGTCCTGCATGCTGCCACAGTAAGATCGCCCTTGCCTCGTTGGCAACCGCCGACAGGTCGAGGCCCCAACCTCAACCCGCTGTTGAGGCGGCGCCAGAGTGGTGGTAGAGTGAATCATAGGTTCGCTGCTAATCGTGTAGCTCGTCTCGTAGACTCGTTGATTGCGGGACTGGCCTGGATGAATTACCCAGAACCTGTGGATTGGGCCGACTAGGGCCGATATATAGTTTGAGAATTAATTCCGGAGCGGGGAGCGTCAAAGATTCAATTCGGCCGGCCACGGTCAGGGACCATAGCAAATGCGATGGAGTAGAGTCGCAAATTCGTTGGTCGATGGTCAGCAAGGCTTGGGAGGGGCTACGCATCTCTTTCTCAAGAGTTAACGACATTTGTGTTGCCATCGGTCTGGCCGAACGGACACTACATAATACGAACCGAAATAGCAGATTATTAGTCATAATGGTAAATAGTAAATGGGTAACTTATGAATGGGAAGATGCATACTGGTGCACAAACAAACAGCTTCCGTCTCAAAGTAGACAGACAGCTCGTGCTTTCCATCGTCCCCTCCACTCACTCTTTTCCAACCCTCATGCTAAAACTATAGCCATGGCAGCCGAATAAGAAAAAGGCCCGGGAAAAGATGGAAAAGATGGAAAAGTCATCATTCATGCAAAACTGAAGACAAAACAAATCATCTATTCCTATAAAGGGCAGTGGTGCGGCATTTTGCGGTGGCTAGTGTGGCGTTTCACGGTGGCGATTTCCGTGGTTCAACCCTAAGTTTCCGACCGTCGGATTTTGGAGCGAAGCGACTGCCCAGCCCTGATATTTTGGAGCAGAGCCATGGAGGAGCTTTAGGGACGATACTGCAGAGCGAATGCGCTGCCGTTACATTGCTAGATTTGTAGATCTTCGGGGACTCTAATAGAATGGAATTTATCAGGATAGCAGTGCAACAGAGGCAGATACTGAGCCTATGTTGCAAGATCGTATTTCGAATGATGCCGCGGAAGTTACGATGCCGCTAGATCCACAGATTGAACCGACTGTACCTGCTCGAGCTCACTCTAGCGAGCGTACTGCGGAACCTACAGTCAATCACTTTCCGTCATTGCGTTTGCTTTCTGGAGACCTGGAGTACGATTCAAAGAGTGTAATGGTGGTAGAGAGCGCGACGCTTAACACACGGCAAATACTACAAGGCATCTACATCGTGTCTCCCACAAATACGCCTCGACCGCAACGTACATACCTATGCCTTTACATTAAGTGACGCTGGCCAAACGACTACACACCGTGGTCGCCACACGGATGTTTACTAGTACATGTAAAGCGAAAGACAATAACCATCCAACATCACCCCTCCTTACACCCCTCCAGCAATCGGAAACAAAGCTCATCAATTGTTGAGCACCTATTCTGATGGCGACAGCCCGAGAGCTTGTCGCCATAACGGCTCCTCCCCCTCGTCCTGCTCCCCCGAAGTAGCCCGACTTGATACCGGGTCCCAGTAGCAGTTGATGCGCTAGGCGCACGACCAGCGCACCAGGGTCCAGATTTGCTTGTCCGAGTGTTTTGAAGACTGTCTGAGGATTGTCTCCATGCCGGGTTGGACAAAAGCCCAAGCACCGGCGTTGAGGGGCTCATCCTGAGTCCAGACAGTCTCCTCCACGTTGGGATACTTCTCCAGCTCGTGACGGAGCTGGAGAAGCGGGGGGGAAGGTTGGAATGGGTGGAGTTGCTGCACACCCGCGGTCGCAATTGCGACATTATCCACACCCTTGGCACCGTGGTGTCAAGGGCAGGCGGGCTGCACCGGTTAAGTGTACGCCCAGTTACACAAGCACCGTGGTGATTATGTAGCTACGTGTACACCTGATTGGCAGGTGCAGCCTGCCTCCCCCCTCGCTGCGACCGAATACTCCAGTGAAGGTCGGTCGCAGCCTGCGCACGGCGCAGAGCACTCTATTTGTGCGAGGGGATGGGTGGCCTGGGGCGGCGATTTTGATCGCAGCTGCCTCGATCGCAACGGGTAGGACGGGCTGTTGCCGATGGTTCATCGTTCGTTCGTTCCGAGTGGTCGATGGGATATCGGATAGCGATGCGCCTATGGAGGGAGTCAGTGGTTATCACTCGCATGGGGTGTGACCGCCGGGAAGTGACGAACCTGTTTAAACACCGCAGCAGTGCGGTCACCGGGGCCCGCAGGCCAGGGCGCAATTGCGAGGACAATACGTACGTCACCCCCACAGCCTCTGGCAGGTTCAACCAAAGCGAGGTCGTTACCATTTCCGTAGCTAGTTGAATGTCGTACGGTGAGAGAGGAGGCCGTTGACTGTCGATTTGGAGTTGCTGATGTTGCCGTGGTATGCGGATGGGGCCCGCAGTCCAGGGTGACATTGTGAAAGTATGATCGAGTAGGCACAAAGTGAAAGGAGGGAGACAATGGTGATGGGGAGTAGGTAGAAAGTGAAGAGATAGATAGGAAGGTGATGATGATGTAGTAAGAAGGGAGAGAGAGAGGATGTTGATGGTGGTTTATAAAGGACGGAGTGGGAGAGAGGGCAAGCGTGGGCGGCAAAGGTTTGTGGTTAAAACCCTATGCTGTGCGTAGAATCAAATTGCCGTAGCGTCGTTACTCTTGCTTGCCACTGCCGTCGAGCCTTGCGTTGTCAAGCGCACATCGCTGGATCACCCGTGAAGCGATGCTTCAGATCCATGGCACTTGCGTTCTGCTTAGTCCGACTTATTTGCCCTTATATTGGAAGCCTGCGCTTTTGTTTCTTGTGATTCATGTCACTTTATAGTTCTTAGGATTTACGTGTACACTTGTTAACAGTCGACTGCAGTCGAACGCTGCCTCGAACACGTTGAGTCCGTCTGCACGTGTCTGCGTTCTGCCGCTGTTGACGACGTCCACCTCGGCCTCAGGGGACTATGGGCGTCGATGTGGGCGGGATCGATCCGCTGGAGGTGTTGCTTGCTCCCTCTGGGCGGTGATCGTGCGAGAGGTGGTGAGAGGTGGTGAGAGGTGGTGAGGATTCGAATGTTTCTGTTCGTATTGGGAATTTCGGGTTAATACAGTATGCGGATATGTGGGATCATGCGATATATTGTAATGATTGAACACGACGCGGGAGAGTTGGCATTTGCAGTTGGTTGTACGCCATAGTAACACGAGAACGATGATTGTGCTTTTTAAACTCTTTTTTGAACACAGAAGACTGTTGTCTGTGCCTACACCGAGCGACGGGATGTGCTCAAGGAGGTCCAGCCAATACAGGCATCCAGTGATTTCAACCTTACCGAGCTCTCCTAACGCGTTTCGACACAGTTTGCTCCTGACTTCAAAGCTCTCAAGACTACTACCTATGGAGAAATAGTCTGGCTGCGTCACACGTATGAGCTACCCCACTCTTTTACAAGCCGCATGTAAGAATCATACATAGCCACCGTAGCCGAATAAGAAGAAAGCCAGGGAAAAGATAGAAACGATGGAAAACTCATCATTCATGCAAAACGAAAGACGAAAATACATACATGTAAAGCGAAATACAAAAATAGATGTAAAGACAAACCAAAAACAACCCAACATCACCCCTCCTTACACCCCTCCAGCAATCGGAAACAAAGCTCATCAATTCTCGAGCACATATTCTAATGGCGACAGCCCGAGAGCTTGTCGTCATTGCAGCTGCTCCCCCTCCTCCCTGTCCTCCATGACGTGGCCTGATTTGATACCGGGCCCGGTAGCAGTCGATGCGCTAGGCGCACGACCAGCGCACCGGGTTCGGATGTGCTTGTCCGAATGTTTTGAAGACTATCTGATGATGGTCTCCATGCCGGGTTAGACGTAAGCCCAAGCACCGGGGTTCAGGGGCTCATCCTGAGTCCAAATAGTCTCCTCCACGTTGGGATACTTCTCCAGCTCGTGACGGAGCTGGAGAAGGGGGGGAGTGTAGAATGGATGGAGTTGCTCCACACCCGCAATCGCAATTGAGACATCATCTACACCCTTGGGACCGCGGTGCAAAGGGCACGTGGGCTGCACTAGGTAGGTGTACGCTCAGTTGCACAAGCACCGTGGTGCTTATGTAGCTACGCGTACACTTAACCGGTAGGTGCAGCCCGCCTTCCCCCTCGCTGCGACCGAACACTCCAGTGGAGGTCGGTCACAGCCTGCGTAGGGCGCAGTGCACTCTGGTGGTGCGAGGGGAGGGGTGGCCCGGAAGTGCAGGTATTCCTGAACTGCGGGCGGAGCGGCAATGGTCTTCGCCGCCACCTCGACTATGGTTCATCGTTCGTTCGTTCCGAGTGGTCGATGGGATATCGGATGGCGATGGGGCTATGGAGGGAGTCAGTGGTTATCACTCGCATGAGTTGTGATCGCCGGGAAGTGACGCACCTGTCTAAACACCGCAGCAGTGCGGTCACCGGGGCCTGCAGGCCAAGGCGAAATTGCGAGGCCACCAAGTCAGGAGGCCGTTGACTGTCGATTGATAGTTGCTGACGTCGCCGAGGTGTGTGGATGGGGCTCGCAGGCCAGGGGGACATTGCCAAGGTATGGAAGGTTATCGTCTAGTAGACGTTGGGGTAATCGGTAGGAAGTGGTAGAAAGAGGAAGCGGATGTTGGAGTAGGTAGAGAATGAAAGGAGAGGGACGAAGGTGATGGTGGAGTAGGTAGAAGTGGAAGGATAGATAGGAAGGTGTTGATGGTGTAGTAAGAAGGGAGAGAGAGAGGATGTTGATGGTGGTTTATATAGAAGGGAGTGTGTTGATGGTGGTTTATATAGAAGGGAGTGGGAGAGAGGGCAAGCGTGGGCAGCGAAAACCTGCGGGTAAAACCCTACGCTGTGCGTAGAATTAAATGCTGTAGTTTTGTTACTGTGGCGTGTCACTGCCGTCGAGATTTGCGTTGTCATCCGCTCATAGCTCGATCGCCCGTAAAGCGATGCGCTAGGTCCACTGCAATTGCTTTCTATGTAGTCCATATGGAGGCCTGAGCTTACTGTCATACTATTAATCGTGTCACCTTATGGTTCTTCCGATATACATGTACACGTGTTGGCAGTCGACTGCAATCCGTACCATCCAAACTGACAAATAGAGTGGACCGTCCAGCACACAACTGCAGACGTACTAGATGACTGTATTACGGTTCCGTCGATGCGTCAGGAAAAAGTTGGCTGGAGTGTAGTAACTAAAACACTGGCTGCGTATGCGCCTACGATGCATACTAGGTATTCGTTCAGAACGAGTTTGAAAGGGTACAAGTCATTCAGTAATCTGGATGCAGTTATCTGCGATAAAATTGAAAGAAGTGAAAACACAAACTCAACTGTGACACGGTCACCGCCCTTATTCTCACCCTCCGAATCCACCTCTTCCTTATCCTTCTATTCTGCATTGTTTTCGTTGCCGCCGTTCGAGACATCTTCATTATTTTCTCCACCACGTTCTTCACCGTATATGTAGGTTGATCATACGGGCGTTTGGAATTCGTCAACGAAGTATTCCTTACTTCCACTATCGTGAGCGCACGATTACGCCTTCTGTTATTCGTCCAAGAAGTAGTCCGCACTCGAATAGCCCACCGTGCCGGAACAATTACGACACATATTCTTCGTCCACGAAGTATTTCGTACTTTAAAGCCTACTACAGTGAGACTGTGAGAGTACGAGAACAGCTCATCCGGGTAGCATTATCACAGCATATCACTCAATCACATAGTTTCGTGAAAAGCACTATCCATGGATCAGGCTCTCCGGAATGACGATCATTGCTGGTGGTGCAACAGCCCTACTGAGCTGTCCCGTGAGCGTCTATTCAAAAACTTCCTACGGTGGACAAGTCAACGGAAAGCCTTGTGCGCAAAGGTCCGGAAGGAGACGGAGAGAAGGAAAGAGAAGTGGTCGATAGCGGAGTTGTTTGCCGACGAGCGGTGCAGCGAGGTAATCCTGGAGTATCTAGTAACCAGAGATGTCCAGAGAAGAGCTTTAGAAGACTTGGAGGAGGAGGATGAGGAGGAAGCAAGCATCGCATCGGGGGCAGAGCAAGAGTGCCAAGCAGGGTACTGCAGCTGCAGCCGATGCGAGGACGTGGGAGAGGAGGATACTCGATGATAGGTCCTAGAGGGGAAGCAAATGACGGGGAAGCGAGGCGAAGGGCAGCAGGAGGAGCGGGCATGTGGGCCCATACCGGTCTTTACTGTCAATATAATTGTTACTTGTGTCGGCCCGAGGCGGATGGGCAGGGAAGGTGGTGCGCCTCATCGGACTGGTCGGTACCGGGGCTTTCACCTCGACTGGTCAGGGCGGACAGGAACGGAGGTCGTGGGGTCGCCATGGTCTAGATAGGCTGCATGCGAGATAAAACAGGGAGATTTCTCTCTGATCAGGCTCCCCGGATGGTATTGCGTCTTCGTAAGCCTCGATATCGTGAGGAGAGGTGTATATGGTGGTTTCACGGCGTGGTTAGTTAGTGGTGGCGGGCGGCTCTACTCCTTTCACACGGTGTTTCATTTAGTCGGGAAAGACTGGGCTGGAACGTACTATCAAGAACACCGGGCCACTGGCTGTCTACGAGCCTGCTATAAAGATTGTGTCACGAGTCACGACGAGCCTGAAATGTTGCAAAATCATTGAGGATGCAGTTATCTGCGAAAAAATTGAAAGAAACAAAAACACAGATCCGACCGTAACCTAGTCACCCTTCTCGTCAGTGGAGTGGACAAAATCAGGGATAAGGCACTGGCAATACCAACCAGGCCAGCAAGGTCAGAGCTTACGAACGGATGGCGGAAGTGATCCTTGTGAGCTGTCAAGTTGTGGTGGGTTATATGGTTTGTAGTTGCGTCGAGCGGTGGGATATTATCGTCTATTGACGTGGGGTAATCGAGAGAGAAACGGTAAAAGTAGAAGTGGATTGTGGAGTGAGCAGAAAGTAGCGGGAGAGAGAGGAAGGGGAATCGGCGAAAACCTGCAGGGAAAACTTTAATCAGTGCGTGGAATTGAATACCTGTAGCGTCGTTACTGCTTGTGTCGCTTCCGCCGGAGCATGTCTCTGCCGTCGAATCCTGTTGCTGCCGTCGAAGCTTAACTCTGCCGTCGAGACCCGTTGCTACCGTGGAGGCTTGTCTCTGGCGTCAAAGCTTGTTTCTGCCTTCGATGCTTTTCTCTGCCATCGAGGCTTGTCTCTACCTTCTAGGCTCGTCATTACTGTCGCGGCTTGTAACTGACGTCGAGGCTTGTCTCTGCCGTCGATGCTAGCGTTGTCATGCACTCATCTCTTGATCACCCGTGACGCGCTGTTCGAGATCCATGGCAATTGCGTTCTACGTAGTCCGTGTGGATGCCTGAGCTTTCTCTCATATGAATCGTGTCCCCTTATGTTTCTTCCGTTTTACGTGTACACGTGTTGGCAGTCGACTGCGATCCCTACCATGGGAACTGACGGGTGGAGTAGAACTTCCAGCAGACACCCCCAGACGTACTGGATGACTGTATTACAGTTCCGTCCAGGCGTCGGGAAGGCTGGACTGTAGTATCTAGAAAACTGGCTGCCTGTGCGCCTACTATACATCTGTATTCGGTCACGACGAGTTTGAAAGGGTACAAAGTCATTCAGGAACCAGGACGCAGTAATCTGCGATAAAATGCAAAGCAACAATACGATATCATGCTCTACGTTGAAGATTGCACCCATCTGTTCTCGGATTGTTTCGACTCCTTGCAAGAAGACAAGAAAAACAACAAAAACTTCAGCTCTAAACCCCTTGCTCTTCCTCATTCGCCACGTCTTCCTCTTCGTCTGGATTATTCTCTTCTCCCGCTTCGTCTTAATCGTCTTCGTCCTCCTCTTCTTCTTAATCATCTTCTCCGCACGATACGTCGTCTTCTTTTTCCACGTTAGTAGCACCTTGCGGGCCGGCGCCTGGCAAGGCTTCTTACGCTCAGGGCGACCGTTCTTGCCGGTTGTATCCTCCTCCACTTCACCTTCCTCACCCTGGTCGTTCGGGAAGGAGGGTTCACCTTCCTCCTCATCCTCCTCTTCTCCTTCGTCTCACATCCGGTGTTCCTCGTCTTCGCCAGTAGCTAACCGGGCGGCTCTAGTGGCTGTTGGTGTTTGCACCTGCTTGCTGGGCGGGGGAGCCGCTGGCTTGTCGGCGTTACGCGCGTCGTCCTCAATCGCCAAGCTGGTGGCCGGTAGCGCCAGGAAGGCCAAGATTGAAGGTGGCAATCGTCGGTAACGGTATCGGGTATCTTGTGTGAAGGTCGTGGAGGAGGTGCCGCTGTAATCTGAGGCCGAGCGGGTAAGGGGATGACCGGTGTGCTGTCGGTATGATCCTGGTGGAAGCCATAGTTTCAGTTCATGTCTGTACATTGATTTGGTGGGCTATGTGGGTCTTCGTTGCTTTGAGCGGTGTGGAGTGATCGTCCAGGTTGTTGATGGTGGGGTAGGAAGGAGGGGGAGGTGGAAAGATGAAGTCGATCGTGCATTTGGAAGAAAGATGAGGGAGGAAGAGGATGTTAATGGTGGGATAGGTAGACGGGGAAACGAAGCCCTGCAGGTGAAATCGTCGGGACCGACGAGAACTTTGGACTAGATTATGGTGAAAAATGGCAGCCTACGAGCATAATATGGTCACGACGAGCCTGAAAGGGTACAACGTCATTGAGAATGCGGTTATCTGCGGTAAAATTAAATCAAGAACAATAACAACTCCTCCAGCTCAAAAACTCTTCATCTTCGTCCTCTTCCACGTCATCCTCCCCGTCTTACATGCTCGAAGCTGAATTTTGAACGCATATAGTTGACAACAAAATAACAACTCCAGCTGTAAACCACTCCCTCTTCCTTATCCTCCACTTCTTCTACCTCTACCTCGTCCCCAACCACTGCTCCCCGCCTTCATCGCCTTCTTCTTGTCCGCCACCTTTTCCACCTCTACCTCGTCCCCAACCACTGCCCCCCCGTCTTCATCGCCTTCTTCTTCTCCGCCCCAGCAATGGGAGCCATGCTCTTTTCGCGTGAGCACGCGCCTTCCTCTTCTCCCTCTTCCTCCATCTCGGATTCATGTGCTCGGTGACTGACGTGGCTCTGTTCTGAACCACGGAAGCAGACTCGCCTCTCCGCGGTTACTCGGAGGTGACAGCGTCATGGTTGACTCCGTATTCATTCTGGAACTGCTTCTTCATCAGTTCCAGCTCCCGTTCCATCTTTCGTAGCTCGATGCTGGCTCTGGGCTATTGAACTATGCGGGCACCGGGGCCCGCAGGCCAGGGTGGTCTTCTTGCAACCCAACAGCCACCCCCAACGTGGTCGAGCTTCGTCGTAGTTGTATTGCCCGGTGTAAGGAGAATCGCAGTCGCTCTCCGACTCTGGATCCGTGCTGTCCCGAGCCTGGCGGGGCTTCTTGCGCGCGGGGCGATCGCCTCCGGAAATCTTCTTGCGTGTTTCGCCGGGGGTCAAGTTATGTTCGTTAGATGGTTTTTAGTTGCGTCGAGCGTTGAGCGGTTATCGTCTAGATGACTTTGGGGTAATGGAGAGGAAGAGGTACAAAGTTGATGGTGAAGGAGGTAGAAAGTGGAAGGAGATTGTGGAAGGTGACGACGAAGTACTAAGAAGCGGGACACAGCGAGAGGATGTGGATGGTGGATTATAAAGGAGGGAGAGGGAGAGAGAGGAAGGTGATGATTGAGTCGTAAGATGAGGGATACAGCGAGAGGATGTTGTTGGTGGATGATAAAGGAGTGAGAGAGAGAGAGAGGAGGGGCGAGCGCCGAAAATCTGCGGCTAAAATCCAACACGGTGCGTGGAATTGAATTGCCGTAGCGTTGCGACTGCTTGTGTCTCTACCGTCGAGGCTCGCAGCTGCCGTCGCGGCTGGTCTCTGCCGTCAAGGCCTGTTTCTGCCGTCGAGGCTGCTCTCAGCCATCGAGGCTGGTCTCAGCCATCGAGGCCTGTCTCTACCGTCGAGGGCGGTTTTCTGCCGTCGAGGGCGGTTCTCTGCCGTCGAGGGCCGTTCTGTGCCGTCGAGGCCTGTTCTCTGCCGTCGAGGCCTGTCTCTACCGTCAAGGGCTGTTTCGTCGAGGCCGGTCCCTGGCGTCGAAGCTTGTCTGTGCCGTCGAGGGCTGTTTCTGCCCTCGAGGCCTGTTCTCTACCGATGAGGCACGCACTCTGCCGTGGAGGCTTGTATCTGCCGTCGAGGCTTTAGCTATAGTCGAGGGCTGTTTCTTCCGTCGAGGCCTGTTTCTCCCGTCGAGGCCGGTCTGTGCCGTCGAGGGCTGTTTAGCCCTTGAGGCCTGTTCTCTGCCCTCGAGGCCTGTTCTCTGTCGTCGAGGCTTGCGTAGTCAAACGTGCATCACTTGAACACCCGTGAAGCGCTGCCCAAGATGCACAGCACCGCCGGCAGCGAGCTCCCTTCACCAACCGGCTTGAGGGGCAGGAAACCAGTGAGACGGTTCGACATAGTCTAGATAGGCTGCGTGCGAAATCATTTCATCATCTCTCTCTCTTTAGACGTACATCATGATGTCAACCTGCGCTCGTTGGCTGCGCCGGGACACTACATCGCTCCGAGTAGCGGCTGGTGACCCTTTTGCATTGGCTGGAGTACGTCCAGTGTGGACGTTTAAGCGCTCAATGCACCTACGGCATCCAATTTGCTGCGGCACCATCGCTGTGAGTGATGTTTTAAGGTAGTCGACAATAAAACATCCAGTCCGACCGAGGATGTTCGGTTTGTGTGGTGCGAAGGGGAGCACGTGTGGCGAGTAGCAGTAGCCAGAGCGATACAAATCTAAAACGGGGGTTTGTGCTCGTAAGATTGTTTTTTTAGTCTACTTCCGTCGATCGACCGTGATAGAATGGATTAGACTGGACTATGTAAAAACCAGGCTGGCTACGAGACTACTACAGGTGTTGCGTCGCGACGAGCGCGAAATAATACACAGTCATTAGGATGCAGTCATCTGCGATAAAATTGAAAGCAAGAACAATAACAACTCCTTCAGCTCTAAACCTTATTAGCCTCCACCTCCTCCTCCTCCAGGTGGAAGGTCAATGTTTAACTTCCTATGGCTCCTTGATATCATCGTCTCCTTTCAAGTAGGCAAGAAAAATAACAACTCCTTCAGCTCTAAACAAATTCCTCTTCTTCACTATCCACATCTTCCCCCTCCACGTCCTCCTCCTCCTCATCGGCTGCTTTTGCTCCCTAACAGTCACCAGATCGGATCTTGTGACTGTTTGGGTCACTGAAGAGTAGGCACCGCCGGTTCTTGACTCGATATCATCCTCCACGCCTTCCACCTCCTCATGGATTACTTCTTCTCTCTAGCAGCCACCAGTCGGATCTCCTGGCTAGTTCCGTCACGGAAGAATAGGCACCGAGCTATGCATCTGTGTAGATGACGAGGCGCCCCGCGGTGGCATACCAGCAGTCTCGAAGCTCGCTGCAACGTTTCCGTTTCTTTGAGTACCGGCGATGGGGGGTAGAGAGAGGAGGAGGACGAAGTCGTCGGTAATGGAATCGACTGGGTTGGTGATGGCTGTCGAGGAGGTGGCTGGAGGCTTTGAAGCAGAGCTGAGAAGAGGACGGTTCGGCTGGGGCACATATCTGCGTGATAGTGTGTGCTTTGTGGTGTTCGGTTTGAATCGTTTTTTAGTTGTGAGGTGGTGAGCTGCAGGAGCATGTCGTACGATTCATGGTGGGGTTGGGAGGAGGGGGGCAAAGCAGGATGAGATTGGTGGGATGTTGGTGGGGTAGTAATCAGGGAAAGGAGTTGAGTGAGGTTGATGGGGATGTTGGTGTGATAGAACGGATGGGGAGAGTGTGTGATGAGGTTGATGGGATGTTGGTGGGGTAGTGAGGAGGGGGGGGGGGGGGGGGGGTAGGGGCCGAGGGAATGGTTCAAATTGTCGCAGATAGTGGTGGAAGGGGTGGTAGTAAATGAATGTGCGCATGTATCAAGCACGGGGCGGTCCCGTTCGGGAGGTAGAGAGACGAAGTCAATGGTTGAGAGGATGGTAGAGCTAATGAGAGAGAGATGTAGATAGAGGAAGTTGGTGGTGGATGATGAAGAATGGAGCGTGAGAGTGAGGAAGTGGGAAAGAGTGGGTATTTCTAGTGAATTATAAAGGAGGGAGAGGGAGAGAGATGAAGGGCGAGCGGCGAAGAACTGCAAGTAAGACCCTACGCGGTGCGGCGAAATGAATTGACGGAGCGTCGAGGCATGTCTTTGCCGTCGAGGCCTGTCTCTGCAGTCGAAGCTTGTACCCACCGTCAATGCTTGGTTCTGTCGTCGAAGCTTGTACCCGCCGTCAAGGCTTGGTTCTGTCGTCGAAGCTTGTACCCGCCGTCAAGGCTTGTTTCTGTCGTCGAGGCTTGCTTCTGCCGTCGAGGCATATCTCTCTACCGTCGAGGCTTGTCTATGCCGTCGAGGCCTGTCTATGCCGTCGAGGCCTGTTTCTATCGTCGAGGCCTGTTTCGACCGTCGAGGCTGACTATGCTGTAGATGCTTGTCTCTGCCGTCGAGGCCTGCCACTGCCGTCGAGGCCTGTCACTGCCGTCGAGGCTTCCGTCATCCCTCGCACATCGAGCGATTTGTTCGCCGATGAGCGGTTCAACGATGAGAACCGTGTAGTGTTCCTCGCAATCGACGGATGCAGGATGGATAGCTCCGCTTGACGTAGAGCACGCTGGGGGAGCAGGATGAAAGCGAAGCATCGTGCCGGCAGCAGAACAAGAGTGCCCAGCAGGATACTGTGTTTGCGGCCTGTGCAGGGATTTGAGGAACGAAGATATCTGATTGTCTGCTCGTAGTGCGATACATATACTGGTTTTATTTCCTACGTAATTGTCTTGGTAGACAGCCCCGCAGCAGCGCCACATCGTGCTGGGCGGTAGAGGCGTCTGCACCCCGTCCGGCCGGAGTGGGTATGAATAGAGTGCTTGGTTGTCCATATTCTAGATAGGCTGTATGCAGAATCAACTAATAATCTCTCTCTCTCCACTACTTAGGTCCAGCGCTGGATAGATCTTGAGGTTCTTCGGTATTCCCTCATGAGTTATTCCGTACTCGAATGCCTGCTACCGTGCCGGCATGATTCAGTCATTCCTTGTTCGTCCAGGAACTACTGCGTATCAAATGAAGAAACTGTCACTGTGAAGATTCGATCAAGCCAACTGGTATTCGGCTGTAACGTCATCCGAACTCGAAACTCCTGCCACCGTGAGCACACGATTAAGTCATTCGGTATTCGTCCGCAAAGAGATGCATACTCAAACGCCTGCTAATATGCCTACGCGATGAAATCATCACTCGTTACTTGTCCACCATGTAGTCTGTACTTACAACTTTGAAGGTCTATTGTGCGGGCACAAAAATTGCTCTTCCTCAATGCAAGATCTCAATATATCACTCGATCGCGGAGTCACGTGAAATGTGTTGCACAGAATGTTCCTTCCTCCGAGTTCCTGCTCTCGGTACGATACACTGGATTCTCTGAGTATAGTAAACCGGTTCAAGTATTACACTTTTCTCTTCATGGATCAGTATAGGTGGCAGGTAGCTGGTACATTGACGTCCAACGACATGCCCAGTACATTCACAACCTCTAACCGTGCTCGTGCACCAAGAGCGACTCCGAGCGAGTTCTACTACCGTATAGTTAGTAGTTGTAGTTACAGCCCGGGTCCCAAAGGCCTCAGTCCCTTACCCTCAGCGTAAACGCGCAATCGGAACGGTGGAACCGGAAGGGCGTGAAGGACTACTCACGTGCCATAACCGTGCTGTAGTTAATCCAGCCGGGGGTGATGCACAGACACTTGGGTAAGTCTTCACCAATGTAAGCTTACGCTCGCCGTAAACTCGCAGTGGTGTTTGCACGGAGGGAGGGGGAACTCGTATTCGCACACGAATAGAGGACTGTTATTCGCACGCGGACAGCGACGGGGTGTTCGCACAGGGACCGCGGACTGGTACTAGAACACCATTAGGGGACGAGTATTCGAACGCTCACAGCGGACTGGTATTCGAGCACAAACATGAACCCAAACACCTCGGACCCGGTTGCGCATGGGAACCAAGGCGAGCAAGGGGACCGAACGCCACAGCCCTACCTCGCCGCCTCACCTCACCTCACCTTTTCATCGGGTGCCGGGGCCTAGTGCCAGGTGCCGGGGCCAAGACGAGCCGAGACGAGCTTCCTATTAGAATTTAGAGTTGAGTTGAGTTTATACCCGGTGCTACTTGCCGGCGGCGGCGGTCGCCTAGATGTGCGACCTAGAGTACCCTGTCGTGAAGTTAATTCCTATCCCCGGTCATGCGGAGTTTTGAGGTTTTGTATAACCGGCGCACGGCCCGGAAGCGATCTTTCCGAGTCCCGAATCCCGTATCTCGAGGATCTGAGCGCAGCTGTAGGCTGCCGCTGAGATTTCCGAACTCCGAACTCCGAATTTCGCTCCGGACTCGGCGGTCTCCGGTTCCTCGTTTATCTCCTACGGTAGTACGATGGGTAGCACGATGGGTATAACAGTGGGTATTATCACGGGTATCACGTTTCACATATCGATGTACAGCCAGCACTTCCAATTTCACGAACAACAATTCCCAAGCAGCAGCCAGTATCACGCGTCTATTCCCGTCTCCCCCACTCTAAGCTACCATTCCATTCAGCCATCCAGCGCGAATTATTACCTAGTACAAAGGACCAGAAAGCCAATATACCATCCAGAAAGCGACATATCCGTAAACATAGACTTCGAGAGTGTACTACACGCTCGCTGCCACGGCCACGATCCCGATAACCACCAGGAGCGTCAAGGAAGAGACTGTGTTCGCTGCTCCTGCGCTGTCAGCTTCCGCCGACGGGAAGGATGACGCGGTAGCACTCGCGAACAGCGCGTCGAGGCTGCCGGAGGCGAGGCCTGCGGTCGGCGACGGGGCGCGGTCGACAGCGAGGCCTCCGGTCGAGGCGACGGACGTCTTCGTGCTGGAGACGAGGGTCACCTCGGCGGAGTCGAAAGCGATGGACGTGGGGACGGTCTCGGCAGTGCCGGTCTTCGTCGCGGTCGAGGGCTCCGGGTATAGAGTCGAGAGGATGATATTCGACGCCTCCATTGTACTGTCGACGATCTCCGAGGGGGCTTCGTAGGACGCGCAGACCGCTTGGAGAAGACCGCCGTCGACGGTGCGGCGTAGGAGCGAGTCCATGCCAACGAAGGCGTCGGCGCAGGCGAGCTGGATGTCGCTGGCGAGGGCGAGAAGCGAGTTGGTACACTCCGTGGTGCACGACGGCGTGGAACTGGTGCCGCAAGCGGAGATCCCAGACTCGTAGACCTTGAAGCAGTCCTCGGGAACCTCAGACTCGGTGATGGGCTCCATCTTGTTCAGGCTGAACGAAGAAGCGGCGACGACTGTAGAAATGCCGACGGCGAAGAAGAGGGTTGCGAAAATGGTGGCACGCATTTTGATGTTGTTTGTATTGTTGAGGAAGTGACGGTATGGGGTATGTGTGTGGTAGATGTGGTAAGTAGTTGGTGGTTGAAGTGAATGTGTGAAAGATCGAGTGTGAGAAAGAAGCAGTCTCCAGAGACCAGTGTGTTTTCCTTTCTGTTTGTTGATGTTCGTTTAGTGCTAGAGCAACCAAATCAGACGAGGACAAGAGAAGAGAATGAGGGTAGAATCGAGTCGCGAAACAAGGTAGGGAAGAAGCGAAGTTTTTGTTAGAAAAGAATTGAACCCACCGAATCGGTCGTACGATACTACGGTACTTCAAGGCGAGAAGCGGACGAAGAGAGCGAATGCGAAGAACCGGATCTACCGAGATGCGAAGTACAGCAGATGAGGAGGGGTCCGATCAACGAAGGAGCCGTAAGAAAGTACAGAAAAGGAAGGGAAGAGCGATTGTCGGTAGAGAGCGAGCAGCAGAGTGAAGAGAAGAGAAAGGAAGAGGGTGCAGAGGGATGATGTGTGTAGGCAAGCACTCTCTCTGCCCGATTACCGGGAATCCCGGTCGCAGCAGTGGTTGGTTAGCGGGTTCGATGCAGGCGGAAAAGGGTTCACTGCCGCTACGCCCCACGCGGCCAGGCGCGGACATGAAACGGCGCCAGACGTCGTCGGGGGCGGCGGAACATTCTTTAGCTTCGGCCAGAGCGCTTAGTCAAGAATCGAGCTGCGGTTGGGGCGGGCCACCGGAGAGACCCTGCGTGGCAAGCTGCCCTAGAGAAGAGTAGAGTTGCTCTAAAGGATGACACACGACAAGGCTCAGCCCGCGATGGTCCTCAGCCTGCCCTGCGCAACGACTCGACGAAGCCATCGCCAGCTCCGCCTCTCGTGCGCATGCCCTTCGGTTCATCATAACGACCCCTATATCCTACTCGTATTCGAGTACTGCACAGCACGGAGATCCCCGTCCTCGCCATCGCCCAGCCTACACATGAAACTCCCGTATTCCGTGGTACCCAACTCTCGTCCGGTAGAATAGAGTGCTCTTCATAACGATAACGACTGGCATTTTACCTTCACCCGTCGTCCCGCCCAATCAGCGCGCCCTCTTCTCGGGATCCGGAGTGGGCTGTTCAGCCGATAAACACGATGAAACAAGCGATCGCCCCCTCCTCCCCCTCCCACCAAGTTTGCCTCCTCGGCCTTGCAGCTGTGTGCATACTCCATGTGCGTGTGTGCATGGCCAACCTTGAACCGCGCTCGTTGGCTGCCGCACCGAAAAATGCTGGGCTATGCAACCAACCAACATGGAACTCCATGCATCAGCGATACCCACTGCTCGCTGCACTCCTGACTGCTCGGCTCAGTTCCCCTCGTCGCTGCACGTTTCTTTCGTTGTTTTCCTTCGTGCGCTGCACCCAGCATCTACATTCCTACATACCCACATAAGTACACGAAAGGGGCGCATGTTTCAGCAGACGATGCGACTCCACTGCGTAGTTGGTGATCACGACAACTCCCCACTCTGTCCGCTCTCTTTTTCCCGTCTTCTTTTGCGACATCGCGAAAGCCAGCTCCGGAAGCAGCCGGCTCGGCGTCGGGACTCGGACCTCCTTCGCTTAGCGTGAACTGATCGCGGTCGCGGAGCCGCATCCGGTCGCAGCGTTGTTTCCGTGCCGTTAACGTCCCCCCACGGGAGCGAGTGGAGAGCGAGAAAACGCGTCACTTTTCTATGTCGTCTCGGTCCCGGCAAGTTCAGCAACTTGCGGGCAAGGTGCGCTACGGATGAAATTGCATGCCGAAACCGGTTTTACGGTATTTCGGAGCTTGAGTATTTCCTGCCGTGATCATGTTTTAAATTACAAAGGGCCCAGCATCGGGATCTTTCGCTAGACTGCCACCAGCATCGAGTAGGTACCCCCGTTTCGCATCCGTGTCGCAAGCTGTGTTCTACATAGACTAGGCCGGTCGGCCGACGTCGGGATAACGGATATGCTGATCAGCCGCAAAATCTTCTGTCGTAGTTGTGCGTCCGGAATGTGTCAATGCCTCGATGACGACCGCAACAATGCTTGAAGTGTTGGGTGTCCGGAATGTGGCTACAACCGTCGCAGAATTACTAGCAGATCACAGAAATGCTAGCAGAGGGATGAGATGGATGCGGCGACTCAGGCGCATGTGAAGGAAATTGGGGAAATGTCGGCCGCCATATGCGAGGACAATCTGGTTTAGAGGTGATTTTAAAGTGTACAAATTCCAACTTGTATAACTTTCTAGCACGGCTTATCCCGACCTATGTCTGGTCGGTCGGGGTATCTTCCGACCCGACCAAACCATACCCGAATTTGGTCGGGACTGGTCTATGTAGAAAACTGCTTCACAGTGCCCACAGGACCAAAAACTGCAACATCTCAGTCAGTTTTCACCTGTTTCTCTCGGCCAGACGCTCGTTGGGATCCCACTCGGCGTCTCATTGACGTCGTGAGTTAGTTATATAGAGACGTCGGCGTCGAGCAATACCGATGGTTCCAGAGCTGTACTGATAGTCCCGGGACAGTACAGTCCATCCGGCGAGCGCGGTACCGCTGTGTACCGAGCAGTAGTGATGGACCCGGAGCTGTACGGCCCAGTGTTCCGTGCCTGCAGTGGCCATAGCCAGTATGTGTCAGTAATAGGCCAGGCGATGCGGCGATAGCGGTACCGCTATGTTCCGAGCAGTGCTAATGGTTCCAGAGCAGTACCATAGAGCGTATCCTGCTTGCAGCAGCTGTAGCGATTAGTATATAGACGGCAGTAGATCACGACGTCCGCACCAAAGAGAGCCACCGTCGCAAGTCTAGCTAACGTCCAAGCCTGGCGGTCAATCGGGAGTTTTGCGCTTTTTTCTCGCGAAGCGCGTGAAGATATTATTTATTGGTCGAGCTCAGTTGCTCATGGGTTTTATGCAATTTTTCTGTTGTTCACACAATGTCTGAGGTGGTATTTTGTCCTCGGGATTTGGTCATAAAGATTTCTGGGTCGTTCGGGGGTGGTCTTGGGGTTTGGGGTTATCGGGGAATTTGTATGTATGGTCTAAGAGGGACTTTTCCTTCCAGACGCTTGCACAGAAAAAAATATTCAATAGAACTGAGCGTAAGCGAGGAAACACGTGATTCTTGTGTGGCTGAGCACGCTATACTTTCTTGGCAAGGGTCGAGCGAGACTAAGACTCCCCACCGCTCGAAACCTACCTTTACTCCGGCTGATGATCCGAGAGTCGCGACAGTCCCCGCCAGCCAGCATCTTCACCAATCTCCTGATGACGTTAGACGGATCAGTCCGCGAGGCAGCGGACAGCGAGCGGCGGAGCGGTTGGTGACCCATCCCCATCTCCATCGGCCGCGAGGCTGAAGGATTAAGTACCTGGCCAGGAGGCTGGAGCGGGCTACGGTCCTGGGGATGCGGATGATTTACACCGAGGAAGGGAAGAGGACTTTACGAGGCTGAGGAAGACAAAGTCGTGGGTGGAAAACAGGCGGTACGTACCTACCACCTGTACGGGAGTCTGGGGCAGTGGGGCTATCGGTTGCGGTTGGTCATGGCCGTTACAACTTCTAACCCGATGATCCCCATGGATAGGTAGACGGCGTGTGCTAATTACCGGTTATGATAGGCTATCGCAGCGGAGGAGATTGGATACTGAAGTCACTATCGTACGTACTTTACAGCGGAGGAAGCCTTATTCTTCTCGAATTTTCATGAATCCCACAATCTGAAAGTCAACACACTCCGACTGTTCTCTGCCTCGACTGGTCCGTCTCTATTTCCCACTGGTACTCTTTTGTTTTCTAACGCATCCGTTTCTGTCTGTCTGCCTTGTTGCTAGCCTGCTGGCAGCTGCTTCTACCCTCGTTCGGTTGCTCTCTTACGAATCTGGGTTCCGCTTCTCCCCACAATTTTCCGTACAATCCTCCCTCAATGCCTCCTCCTTGCACTTCGCCGGACTGCTGACCGTCAAGACGCCAGCCATATCGCTCACGAGTCACATCCAATCACCATTCTCTGTTTACCGGGTCTCCCACAACTCCAGAGTCCAAAACCACCACACAGACCACACGCATCTCCACGCCCCTGCAAAGCCACTGTCTACCTGGTACCAGGTAGCTGAAAAGTATGTATTCCCCTCACCCCTCCCAATTTAGGTATACTTCAGCTCACGCTTCATGACAGCCGATGCCAGCCAGGATCATTGCCATTTTCCGCATGACGTCAGACCGATCACCCTACCAGGCAGCGGGCAACGGGCAGCGAGCGGCAGATCGGTTCGTAGCCACAGTGGCACACTGACCGCACACCCACCAAACGGCGAATACGCCGGAACTATCATGACCAGCAGCGGCGGACTGACCTCGAGATACGGCGAGGGAGGCGGGACGTTGAAGAAGCAGCGAGGACTGGGCGGAACAGGGGAAGACCCGGAAGAGTCACGAGTGTGCGAGATACTCGTACTTGGCGGTGAACAATGCCAGTCAATACCAGCCATACACATTGGGCAGTAGGGCAGTGGGGATATCCGTGTCAACTGGCGGTCTGTGAAGTTCGTTCTAACCCGAGGATCCCGAGAGTCAAATAGTGGTCGTGCGCTGATTACCGCTTATTATAGAGTATCGATCAGCTAAGAAGATTAATCATTGGATACGCAATCCGGAAGTCTGAAACTGGCGGCTAGCCTCTAATGCCCGATGTCCAGCATAGAAGATTTGAAAATGAACATTCCACCCGGAGCCTGGAGGAGAGATCTCCGGTAGCCGCAGGCACGCAACGGGAAAGAGAGGGAATGAACTTCGTGGCTAGACACTACAGCCTTACCATTCCCCGGGGGTGACCGCGTGTCTGAGTACCGTTTTCTCGTCACTGTGGTGTGTGGTGGGTGATCTAGGTGGTAGGGATATTTACAGTCTACACTGTACTAAAGACAAGCTGACCTCTGTACAGACGACCGTGAGCTCATCGCCCTACAGTCGACACACCTGGGCGGTTGCATTCACCACTCGGAAGTTTGCACTTGAGAAGGCGCGGCGTGGTTATTCGCCTTTTCGAGTCTCTGAGTTTACGTTCGCCTTCGGGGGATCGGAGGCCAGCGGTCAATGGGATTGGGAGTTCAAATGAAGACTGGACAATGACGATAGGGACGAAGATGGTGACGCCAGCACTTGGCTGGAAAGTTTGAGAAGCCCGCCGATATTTACGCTTGGCGGCACCCCAAGTTTCAATACGGTCATGATACTGAAGTCCGGGAGTGGCCTTTGATACCTACCAGAAGCAGCTTGTCTATCTACCCGG